GTTTATTATAAATAATAATTTATTATTAAACGCTTTTTAAAAAAGTTATTAAAAATATTAAAAAATATAAAAAAATATTTTTTTATATTAAAATTAAAATTTATATATAAATATTATTATAAAGTAATTATTTTATAAATTTTATTAATTATATATATAATTATAAAATATAATTATATAATTTTTTAATTTTTATATATATTATATAATTAAATATATTATTTTTTTTATATATTTATATTAAATTTAAAATTATAATAAAATTATAATTTTTAAATTATAACGAAAAAGTTTTTATTTTTAAAATAGTGTTTGTTTAATTTTTATATTATCTAGTAAATTTAGGTGCTTAAATCTGTTAATGACCGTTTTTAAATGTAAAATGGGCTTAAAAGTGTAAAAAGATACCGTAGCGGACCGAGTTAATATTTAGTGTGGTAGATAAATGGGTTCTAGTCCATTAGATGCGATAAAGTGAATATAAGTTCGTTCTTATATCCACCGAGGTTCTATATTATAAGCGAGGTAGTTTATGAGAGGACTTCTAGCCGTTTTAAGAAGATCTATCGAACTACACCGGTCGATCTCATTATGAATTTCGAAATACGCCTTGCAAAATTATGTGTTGGCCAATGAACCCGCAAGGTCGTACGTAACCGAGAATTGCGGGAACAAACGAGGTCGATCTCCTCTTTGCTTTTTATGGACTTTAGACTTTGGGCCAAACCGTAAGAACCGTAAAGATGATCCGCCATACCTATATGCACTTGTCAAGGCTATCATGCACAGGTACACTAAAATGCAACGAGTATCATGTAGCATGCCGCTACGCATGTAGAACATGTGGATTCGACAACGAGCCCTGCGAGCCTATGACCGGATCCGGCCTTTGGATTTCCGCCGAGTCGAGATCCATTATCTGGTGTTTCTTTGAACCGCTGTTAGGAATTATTTGTGTAGGTTAGGGGTTAGGTTAGCTGGTTAGGTACCTAGTGCAATGCAATGCGAGCGGGTAACAAATAGACTAACAAATAGACGATGTAGAGGGTGCGGGTAGCACTGTGTTGTATCACGTCACACGGGAATCCAGGGTCTGGATTACTTATGACGTTTTCCCGATTGACGCCCCCACTTCAACATCAGATGCATGTGGAGACCCGGAAAAGCTTCGAGAATAAACAACGTGACCAACCCCTCGGCGCAGGGGGGCGCTATGTGATAGGTATGGAGGGGGCTCAACGATGCCACACTGATTTTTCTAACCATAATACATTTTCCAGCGTAGACGAGATCGCGCATCCGTTAGGGCTGTTTGAGCCTTTCCATTAGCCCGAGAAAAGAAAGGAAGAGACGCCGACATCATCGCTTGGGGTTTCTTATAGTGGAAGCTTGGCTGAGGTACCGCAGCTACGGTGCTCGAGGTTGAACGCAGCCCGCAGATATGGTAACATTTTGATGGTGCGGCTTCTGCAAGCGATACGCCGTAGTAATGAACTACGTTCTGTAGCGCTGCATTGCGTTCGGGATCAACGTGTACTATAGCATAGGTTTTTTTTTTTTTTTTTTTGGTTCCGTCATATCTAAATATTGCCAATAACTTGGGGTTTTGCGAGTGGCACAGGATCACTGGAATAGTAACACCATACACTAAATTGGTAGGATTAGCTTGGCGGGCCGCAACTATGCGGTCCAGGGTCCAGTGTGTCCTGAAAACACAAGTAGACCGGGGTGGGAGCATGCAATATTGTATATAGAAAGAGATGCGTCGACGTCGATCACAGAAGATTCCAGCGACGCTTATTGCGCTGAGTGGTGGGCGGGAAGCTTGATGAGGCTTCCCGTCTTCCCGCAACCCTCTCTCCTTGGCCGAGCTGGGTTGTGCTGATGGCGAGATGGCGAATATTCGGCTTCACGAGGGATATCGAGCCTGGTCGAACACGACAGTATACATTTTCATGTTGAACATCCGTAAACGAGGGATGGCGAGAAGACTCGGTGACTACCTAGGGAGGGCACTAGGGGCTCGGGTACCTAGTACATCTTGAGGAAACGGTAAGTCAGCTTAACAAATCTCTCATCAATCTCCTCGTCCCATCCATCCCACGTAGGACCTGATGGGTCTTTCACCTTCGTTAGGTAGGGTAGATGCGTTATCGTGTAAATCCGACAGGCGCAGATATGGCGGCGGATAGGTATGTAGGGCGTAGTGCTCATCTCCTGAGCTCGGTCGGCTCCCTTGGTAGCAGCGGTAGCTTCCAATAGTCTGGGTTTGACGATGGTTGGAGCCAAGAAATTTTGGTATGGTCAAATTTATATGTACATACGTACGTCCACCTGTATGTATGTGTGGAATACCTACATGTGGATGTAACTGATTAACTGATAGACATGTGGATGTGGTAAAGTAGAGAGGTATAGATAGATGGGTACCCCACCGATATCACTAATACGTATTATTCCACTTTTTATTCTTTTCTTTTCGAAAGCGTCTATCACCCTTTTTTTAAAAAATCTTCCCTTTATAAGCCCTTAAGCGTTAAGGACAGAAGGATCCCTTCGGCCCTTTCTTTTAAGTTTTTAGGTAATGGGAAGGGTCATTGGAATCCCGAATTAGGTACACTAACCGTTAGATAGATACCCCAAGTAGCTAGTCGGCTAGTACCACATGCCTTATACATAATGAGTAAGGTTGCGCGCCTACCTTAATTACATGGTTCCGCATCGGTGACGTTGTTTAAAAGACCCTTGACGGAACCCCTAAAAACCGTAATCTTTATTACGACATACCGTTCAGAACATATCAAACCCCCATAATCTTCGTACATACCTCTCACACATACCTGTATGAAGGTACCACGCTCAATAGCCTACCTCCTACATTACCTTAACCTACCATTTACAACACCTAGCATTACGTGTAGGCAACCCAGGTAACCCGCCAGGTTCGAATTAAATATTATTCTAGCACTCTAGCCAGTTCAACATATTATTCGGCATGGGTGCCGACCAGCAAATAATCTAACAAATAAACCCATACACTGTGCGACGTGCCCGCCCCATCAACCCATTTTGTTACCATTACCCATCACCACCACTTCCTACCGATAGACCCCACCTAAACATTCTTCGAACAAAACTAGAGTGGTTAAAGTCGCCGCGGTTTTTTTCAGACCACCCACACGACCCTCTTCCCAGGACTTATTTTACCCTTTTCGCCGCTACATTTTCGTCATTTGTGACTTCGGCCTCATCGCATAGGGTCCCTTTTTCGCAGCGACCAACGTCGACTTCTCTGGGCTGGCGCTGTCTTCCAGGACCAGTCCTTTATATCGCACAACCCGGCAACATGGCTGCTAACGACCAGGTATGAATGGAAACATGACTCTAAATCAAAGTATAATACTTGGGCAAATAACTGACGGAGCCTCGTCTGCCTGAGCAGAACGATGACGGTCATGACAGTGGCAACCTGCCCGACCTAGGGGATGCGATCGATATTGTGACTTTTAGTCAGATTCTAGAGATGGACGATAGTGAAGACGACCGTGAATTTAGTAAATCCATCGTCTACGGGTTCTTCGAACAAGCCGAGGAAACATTCGAGAAAATGGACCAAGCTCTGTAAGCTTCACCCTTGCGCGGTTACTACCTACCTACGATGCTCTTTGTGAACGCTGGTTGCCCCGCAATCCTCTTCATAGATGACCGAAACTAATATGACCGCTTTTATTTTATTTTATAGGGCAGCGCAGAATCTCGATGAGCTGTACCGACTTGGCCATTTTTTGAAAGGCTCGTCTGCAACTCTCGGCTTGACTAAAGTTAAGGACAGCTGCGAGAAGATTCAGCGCTATGGGAAGAAAGAGAACGTCGATGGCAGCCCGGAGAAGGACGAGGCGCTCTGCCTATCTCGAATCACGGAAACTCTCAAGACAGTCAAGTCGGAGTACGCCGACGTAGAGCAGACGCTCAAGAATTTCTTCAACTCTACCTAGTCGACGGACGTGGGTCGAGTTTTTACAGTTTTGAGTTCGAGTTGTGCTATGCTACTAGTAACCTTTGCGACTACGGTCACCGCATGGACATTTCTATGGGTGCGGCCGTTGCTAAAGGGCTTCGAGCATCATGAGAAATGAAGGCTGCTCCAAGTTCTCAGAGAGGGAAAGGAAGTAGCAGCCGATTATTCTACCTAACTCATCAGTTGACTTCAGATATACCCCACGCCTGTCATCTCGTACTTTTACAGCTTCGATCATCAGGTAGAGAGCAGTTTACTTTGTATGACGGTTTTATTGCAGGCAGTTGGTTGATGCGCGTAACTCGGAGCACAATACACAGGACGATCGTCTAGGTTAGGTTAGTCTTAGGAGGCGACAGCTTCTCACGATCGGACAGGCAAGTCGCGCTCCTCTAATACACCAAATTTTTTTTCCGCCCGCAGCCTTACCTCGTCAACTTTGGATATTATCGCTCGTATCCCGCAAAAGAGTGCCAACGTCATCCCACGTGCATTTGGATTTCTTTGGTGTTTAATGCATAGCAGCGCATCTTGACCTTCTCTACGTCATACTCGTTATGCTGGCCGTATGATGCAGAGTCATTGTTACCTTTACCCATCTCTTCCCACGTGGCTAATACAGATCTCCCGTTTGCCGATCTGAGACGGATTACCACGCGATCCTAATATTGTAGGAAAATGTCAAGTAGTTCTGGCTCTTGACTTAGGGGCGTTGATTCGAAGTGAAATGTTAAATTTGGGCTTGGATATCGAGATATTAGCCAATTCGTTTTTTAGTCTGCACGCCAATAATTACGTAAGAGGCTGTAGGTTTAATTTCCCTAGATATACCGAATTATTATCTCAACTCTTTACTTCTCTGTACTGGTTCAACATATACAAAGTTGAATCGCGGACCAAGCCACACACAACCCTGTATGAGAAATTTATTCCTTGGTACAGCTTTAATTAAAATCTAAGATAGCGCCGTATTATATTCACTATGCCGCCGCGGCCGTCACCTACGCATTTCTTATGCTTACCACTTGTTACGGGGCTATCCCGCCACCAACTCTCGGCAAGCCTATCAGCCTTTAGCAGAGATGTTACAAGCCCAGACAGTTTTGCTGTGCCAGAGCAAGCTATTCGACCATTAGGTACACTTCACCTTACAATTGGCGTTATGAGCTTTCCAGGTGATGATGGCTTAGAGAAGGCGGTGGCGCTCTTAAAGACACTGGTACCTAGAAAAATAATGGCGAGCATCAAGGCAGCTGAAGCAGAAAAAAATCAGGAGCGCTCAGCTCAAGAGCCAACTGGGCCGTTGCCCCCTTTATTATCTGTAACGCTGAAAGGTCTACGTTCAATACAGCCAACATCATCTAAGACATCGGTGCTTTACTCTCCACCGGTCGATACTGAAGGTACTCTATTGCGATTTTGCGAAAGTCTGCGATTAACCTTTCAGGAAGCCGGACTGATGGTAAAAGACAATCGACTCTTGCTACTACATGCTACTATCGTGAACACGATATACGTCAAGGGGAGAAATCGCAAAGGTGGGAAGCGACAGGAGAAGCTGACGATCGATGCAAGGGATATAATAGACCGCTATGACGATTACGTGTGGATGAAGGATGTCCCTGTAGAGAAAATTGCGATATGTAAGATGGGCGCGAAGAAGCAGGAGGATGGTGATGAAGCATACGAAGTTGAAGCGGAAATTGAGCTAACTTGACGATTACGTATACAATGTACGGAATACCTATGTAATCAATGTTAGTACAAGAAAGTTGACCTTTAGGTACATCCTATGAGGTAGGTAGCTTGGTGTAAGAGAGCTTGATACCACGGGATCGGAAGGAGCTAATATTAGCCTTTTGTACTACGGTATTGTACTGACAGTCAGACAGTCTACCCGAACTTAAGCCGTTACGCAATCCACACAGCCTCAAGTACCTAGATAGGCGTAGGTCTCCTCTGTAAGGTTCTTTCCGTATTCCGTATTGGCGACCTCCGTGCAGGCAGGTGCTGATGTGGATTGACATGTAAGTCGCGTTAGGCACCGAGAAAATGTATCCGTTTACAACCGATTTTGTCAATGTAGAATTCGTCTTGCAACGCCCTGTGCGCTACTCTGTTATTTTGACGCTATGAGCCCACCAGACAAACGGCGGGGCAATTCCCATTCAATCCGCCCTTCAGCCTCGTCACGAAATAGCATAATCTCCCCTCCTCCTCGTGCACAGCTCACCCGCGCAGCTTCTACCTCATCTTCGCCCGGTCCGGATAACGAAAGTACCCATGATGCCACAAGTTCAGGAAGCAAAGATAATATTACGTCGTCGGCCTCTAAGGAAAAGGAGAGTATCCTTCTTAAGGAGAAAGATGATAAGATTGCCGAATTGAACCGGGAACTTACTGTTATGGAAGCCGAATTCACGCGTGAATTGGATAGGCTCTCTCAAAAAGAAGGCGAGACGGCTAGTTTCTGGCAAGCGAAGTATTCGGACTTGAACCGGCAGCTCGTACGAGTCGAATCCGAGCTCCGATTGCTGCGTGCCGAGGTCGATGTAAGGGAAGAAGAGCGAGCTGAGTTGCGTGAAGGATGGGAACTTTTGCGAAGGGAAATAAAGGAGCGTGACGACGAGATACGAGCTTTAAAGGGCCATATCGCCGGACTCAAACAGTGGGTCAGCACCAATACGGCGAGAGGCCATCAGACGACCGACGAAGAATTTGGGGACTCTATGACGAAGCTTGGGAACGGCTTGCAGAATTGGGTTATCGTGCATTTTAGACGAGCAAAACTTGGTAGGATGGCTCAACAACTATATGTGCGGCTTGGACGGACATTTAATTAACGAGGGCGTAGATTTTACGCATGCCGATGATGCTGTAATCCGCGATCTTGCAGAGCTTGTTCCTATGTATGAGCAACTTGCGGCGTCGGCGAAGGTACATCTCCTTCAAAACATAGTATCCAGCATCTTGGTGGAGACCATCTTTGAAGCCTACTTTGTTGGTCTTCCCGAAGATCAAACTCGCCAATTAACCCAGATAGAGAAGTATCTCGGGTCAATGAGTAAGTACCCTTAAGTTTGAGCTTTGCCTTGGGATGACAGCTGACCCATTATCAGGCTCAATCGAAGCTGTGAACCAATGGCGTGCGACAACACTCACCATACTCCGAAAGGAGACCACCCCGCGGATGCAGGAAGCAATGACGCTAGTGATCGAATCCGTTATTTCAAGGGTCAATCACATTTTAGATACGATTACAGATGCCAGCGCAACGGAAGTTCGGGATAATGCGCTTCGCGCGCTGGTGCATAGCTCGGTTGAACTAGCACGCTTATTGGTAGTGCAAAAAGCTACATTCAAAGTTCACATGCCCAAGATCTTCCCTCACCAAAGGATCTTATTTGAGGCATCTACTATGGAGGACATCGGGGCTGAAGATGAAGAGGACTTGGCTGGACGCGAAATATGCTGTGTAACCTTCCCCGGAATCACCAAGACGGGGGATGAGAACGGCGACCACCCGCATTTCAAAAATGTGGTGGCAAAAGCTAGGGTTCTTTGCGATCCCGAATGAAGCGAGCTACCTCACACTAAGACATAAAACCGAGAAAGACTAAAAGGCGGTGACTTAAACATTTTGATTTGAGATAGCTCAAGTGGCTCGAACAAGATGACATCTTTTAGACGTGGTGCCCCATCTTCCCTCCCGTACGATCTAACTCTATATCGGAACTCGAACGCGTACGACAAATACGGGACGGTAAAATTGGAACACGCACGCAATAGGCGGGTTTGGGAGCCTGAACCAATTGGAGCTGCATCATCATCGCTCTAAATTTACACGACACGTCCCCAAGCGCAGGGACGGGGGGGAATTAGGAGGGGTCAAGAAAAACTAGGGAAAATGAATCGAGTGGAGAAACAATGAGGCTCTGCGGCCCAAAAATTCTACCGGTCCCCCCCCCCTCCTCTCTGTCTTTAATCCACGGATCGAACCTATTGGAGCAACTATTAGTTGTATGCATAGGTGCCCACGATTGACTCATGCAACATATGCGACTTCATGCATATCAATCACTTACCACGCATATCATCCATGCCTAGGAGATATCATAAACGTCGTTCCAAACTCACTGCTATAGGAGGTTCATGATATTCTGACCTAAGAAGAAAATAAGCATATGAAAACAGTCCATCCACCTGAGACACTCGAGACGCTCACCGGTCTCGCAGACAACTAACCTGGCAGGATACCTGACCACCAGATCGGCATCTGTGATACACGGAACACTGTCCCGCTTTCCATACATATTAATTCCCTGATCAAATGCCTTGGCATTCCAACTTACGTGGACCGATGGTCCAATGTACGGGAGGAAGCCAGTAGGAGATATAGATATCTCTTCAATGCTAATATATGAGGTCTCGAGGCAAGCGCATAACATTGGCCAACGATTCGGGGTTTGCACTGAAGACAGCCCGAATCATACGCTAGTCTTATCCGTCTGCGCCTGATTGACAGCACAAGTATGACAGCAAGTTATAGACAAGAACTTTCGTAGCGACAAGAAGAGACCCAACATGATGGACTATCAAGATAGCTAAGAGACGAGATATTCGATGATGGCCCGTCGGTCGAGGTTTGAGGTCTCGTGGGCGACCCTTGGATATGATAGATTGGCCCTCTACCAAATCCGAGCCGGCCATTCGAGACTGAGCGAGTCAAAACCGTGTAGGACTGCTGATACGGCGAAAAGACGCCTCATTGACATGATAAAAATATGGCGAATCGTCTGCACGGCTCTTCTGCATCTACAACAGCTCTTTCGTGCACGGATGACTCCTATTCCCCCACGATAACCCACTTCTGTAGCAGGGGAGGTTGATTGGCACGGGAGTTGCTTGTGAACCATTCAGATACCATTGGGTTATCCACCACTCCCTAGCATAGATTCGATGAGTGGCCTAAAATTATAGCAAGCAAGGAATATGAGATTCATTGCTGTAAACAATTTTGACATGACGCTTCCGGCAGCATTGCCGATCTTCGGATCGGTTCTCGGATAGTTGTGGTATAAGAATACCTCATACTGATTCAATGGCGTTACTGCGATCCGATCAAATATATCCACGTCTCCAGGTAGCGTAGCTGCATTATGTGGCCCCGGGTGGGTGTGGGAGTATGCAGCTCTGGAGGGTTGGATGCACACTCACAAACGAGTCAGTGGTGGGCGCCAACATTCCGGGTAGTGATTGAGAGACGATTATTCGTTGTGGGTGTAATAAGTCGTATATCCCTGCCGGTAAACATTAAATGCTCTGGACCGGATCGTCAGATTGGTATTTCAAGACAATAACAACCCAAGAAGATCCCAGCATCCTGTTTTCTGAGATTTATCTTTTTCAACAAATCTCATAGATGTCAATTAAGAAAGATTGAACTTACCCTGGCCTAAGAATCATCTTACGCCGAATTTCCGAATCCAGCTTCTTTCCCCCCCCTCCACCCCCCTTAAAATCGACCATCTCACTTGGGGCCGCCACAACTCGTTGCAAATCAGCATCTGCAGCAAAGTGGGCCAGTCCAGTTCCGAGCTATACGTATGAGAACCGTATTGCTGCACGCTCGAAAAAAAGAAAAAAAGGGAAAAGAAAGTCGATGACAGTTGGCGTCTGTCCAACACTTCCTTCATTCCGAGTTACCACACCTATATTATCTCCGAGAAGAGATTCAAGGATCTGAGAGCATCTATACCATTGGGCATTAGCTCAGATGATGCTGTAGTCCAAGCAAAGTCTCTTCGAAACCGCCGATACAAGTCCCAAACAATACTCCATCGGCCATCGCTTCTCCATCATATTTAAAAGGTCATCTTGAAATAACACCGACAATCAAGGCTTGGCTCTCGTCTCTGGCCTAGCTGGTTTATTAGTCGTATTCCCCGGCCCGTCCTCGCATCGCCGACAACCACCAGTCAACACTATACTGTCTCAACCCCACCATTCCTCTCCAGGCACCATGTCTATGCGGGAATCCAGCTATGGGTCTTCTTACACAGAAGGCACGGACACTGCGTCGATTTGTAGTGATAACACCATGCCGACTCAATACGGCGACCCTAATGATGGTTTATATAATCCGTATCCTGCTCCCGACCCTAGGGCGATGGGTTTGCCGTGCGAGTTCGTCGGATTTGGGTGCAACCAGACTTTCAACTTCAACGAAGTCGATGCTTGGATCGAGCATATAATTGCTGACCACCTCTTGCACAAACTCCCTTCTAAAGCTATTTGTTGGTTCTGCGACACATGGCGTTTTGACTCCAAGGCGCCCGAAGTTGGATACGACCGCCGCCAAAACTTCGAAAATAGGATGTGGCACATCCGCGAACACTTCATAGAAGGTAAAACGGTTCATGACATACGTCCTGACTTCCATATGCTTGAGCACCTGCATCGCCACAAGATTATCGCTGAGGATACCTATATCGAATGTAAGAGGTGGAACGACCTATCATGCCGTCGTGAAGAGATGAAGCATGTTCGCAGTCGTAACTTTGTGTCACCAGAGATGGAGGCACGGAACCGACGCTCGCAACAGGTTCCTGTAGACATTGTCAAAGATGAAAGACAACGGAAGAAAGCACAGGGACAGAAAGGAAAGGAGCCCCGAGACAAACCAACTCATCGCTCGAAGAGATAAATTGAGGAGGGAGACATGGGGCTATAAGCGCGGCGGGAACGCCCACAGATGGTCCGCGAACCACCGCCGCTATGTCTTGTCGGCAGACAACCAATATGCAATACGTACACCCAACACCCAACATGCCAGCTTTGTTTAAACCCCGGCTCTCGGTCCCGATGCCGGCCCAGGCTTGGCCGGACATTATATTCCAATTCTATCTTATCGTTATTTCTTACCATGATCTATTTCTTTTATCTTTCTTACCCTGGTGGCAGAGTCCTACCCCTAGAAGGGGGGAGGGCCTTATATCTTATAAGTAGTACGTTCTACGTTGGAACGTCGAATGCAGGATCGGTAGCCTTCTTCCACTGCATGATGCATCGCAGATCGGCAAGGCAGAATCGTGCATTCCTTTCAGCCCTACGGCCCCCAGGTTGCCTTGTCTAGTCACGTTTGCATCGCCCCCGATGCGACACAAGGCACCTAATGCAAGGGGGTGATCGGAAGGTGCCGAGCCTTGCCCAACCCCGGAGCCTTGCCTCGTGTCTGGGACATGCACCTATCTAGGGCTGAATCGGGACATATACCATGCACATCGTTAGCTGGCGTAGAGAGCCGCTGGGCGGACGGCATACCGCATAGCATATACTGCATGCTTGGGCGAATATGGGGAAATCCGAACAAGGTGGTACTCTCTTTTCCGGGAAGGACAGCTACTTTTCGACTTAACGACGTTACGATTTTTCGATACCTTATGACGAGTGGGAAAGGCGGTATATATTTGAAATGAATTAGGAATCGAATGGATATACGAAGAGATGAATGACGACTGACGATAATTACGACGATGGGGATGATACCTAGGAGAAATATCGTCTAAAATAGGGCTAACAGCAAGGGCGCAAACGAAGGGAAACAAAGATACCACTCAGAATTTGCGTTGGATTTTCCAATGATTATAATGAAATCCCCCTTCTTTTTCTCTCCTCTCACCGCAATTTTGCCTCGTAGGAGTGAGTCTGCGTATGTATGCTCGTGGTGGCGTAGCAGGAGCTTCGCCTCGCTACCCATCATTTGACCGTCCAGTAGAATTTTCTTAGCCAACCAGCCAACCAACTAACAGCCACTGGTTCGTCTATCTTTGAATTTAAATTATACAGTTTCTAGGCAGTGTAGTATGCCCTTCGTATACCTTCAAATATATACTCTTAACATGGCCGCGGAACCTCTCGCTCCTATACCTACCAACCTTTGTAATTCCGCTTTCGTCGTCGGGACGGCCCCTCATCGGTGTGACTAATCCCAACAGACAACAACAGCAGCAGCAGCAGCAGCAGCAGCAATAATAAGACCTAGGTATATGAAACGGAACAAAAGAAAAAAAAGGAAAAAAGGAAAAAGACCCAGGGCAGCGTGCCGCTGGCTGGCCGTGCAGTGCAGCGCAGGACAAGGCAACCGTCCGCCTCGAATTTTTGAATCTGACAGGGTGGGTACCGAACCCTCTTTTTACGCCCGGCTTGTTAGACGTCGATGTCCTAAATATGTAGGTACGAGTCGTGATTCGCCCAATGGCCCGCGTCTAGGACAACTCGGTATGGGGAAAAACGGACATGGCTGCCCCTCTTCTACGAAGCCGGGCATAACGACGCAATGTAATAATACGGGCGAGAAGGGTAGGAATCATGCAGGCGAGACAGTATGGCCGGGTTAACACGAGCAAGACGTAACGCGGTATAGGAAGCGTGATGATTTCTTCTTCTTCATCATCATCTTCTTCTTCTTCGTATGTATGAACCAATATTCTATACTAACAAATCGAGTCCCCTATATACCGATGGCACATACAGCACATTCAACCTTCTAGCTCATACATCATCGAAGCAGTGCAACCTCGGCTCGACCCGAAGCGCCTCTTTAAACCCAAAGAGAGCCTACTAATTATTAGCTCCTAGCGGCGTAACATATCATCCTGTCGGTTCGGATATATCCAAAAATCATCTGTTCCGCCCTCGTCCTTTGCTTTCTAATGCAGTTGAAGAGCCAAGGCTCTTATAATTTGTGCGAGTTTAGTGAAAATCTGCCTCAACGCGCCCGTATCGTACACCATCGACCTTGAGTTCGAACCCGAGACCGGCGCTGTCGACAATCATTTCGAGCGTAAAGTCTAAGTTGTCAAATTCGACGCCCCGTGTCGTCGTAAGCCGCGTAAATAAGCTTCGCGGCACCGCACTTAGATCCGTTGTCAGGGTGCAGACATTTATTAGGTCTCGTGAGTACGCTGCTGGCGGTTCGTCTGCTTCACACGCGATCAAGTCGTCTGTCACCACCAACGACTGTCCTGGTCGAAAGTTACGTGTGTAGTGAAAAGCGATCGGCGAGAGGGGAGATATTGCCTCACCCTACAACATAGAGTTATGATGTTAGAATAAGTGAACAGCGAAGGGTAGGAGAGAGGAAAAGGAAAAGGGGGTGGGGGGAAGAGGGACGGGAAATAACCGACACTTCACCCACGGGTTGATGACTTACCTTCGCGATATGCCATTGCATTCGGTCGCTGACCATCCACCGTTCCCATAAAGGACTCCAGTATCTTTCGCTCACATTGTGTTTCTCTTCATCGTAGACGGTTGCGTAGGATGTTCCGTAGTGCATGCGAGCCTTCCTACTAATAACCATATTTCCTTCGAGCCCACGTAGTACGGCTCCGCGGACCACTGCTGTCCAAGCGTACACGGGCTGCATCACTTCAATATTGCCGTTCCCTTCGTATGCTAGGCTGGTAGTAGCATGTGTTGGTCGCTCTGTGTATGGAGGTGGTGCTGTGCTTGTAAAATGCGACTTCAGCCGTCGGTAGAGGTAGTCGCTCTGACCGAAACCACCGACTAATATGATTCCCGAAACGATTCCTCCCTTACTACGGATAACATCTACCTGGCCTTGGACGAGGTCGCAGACTTCCTTGACTACCGGCTCGAAAATGTCCTTGATCTCTTCGGCTGTTAAAACGAGGAAACCCGAATCCACTCGCGCTTCTTCATCGTCGGGCAAACCTGGGAATCTGTGGGCCGTAAGTCGTTATTCCTTAGGAATGAGTAAACGGTAGTTAATTGTAAAATAAATCTTACGGAACATTGACTTCTTGATATTCATCTTCATTGAAGTTCCTCTTGACGAACTCCTCGAAGTATCGAAGGCCCATCTGCCAAGTTTTGGCTTTCTTTAGTTTCATCTCCTCGAACCGACTATGACCGAGCCGGCCTCGAACGTGCTCTTCGAACCTGTAGTTTAGAAATGCACTTCCACAAAGGCCACCGGTTCCAACGGCCGACTCTTCAACCCTTAGCGGCTTTAACGATATGATTTTATATGCGATCAAGCTGTATAACTAGTTAGATATGGGCTCGGTAAGTATGTAGGGGGCCATAAAAACACTGACTCTACTGTCCCGCCACCTGCATCGCATACGATGAAGTTATCTCCCACGCTGAGGTGATTCGGCTGGATAGCTTTCAGAGTATAGACAGCAGCGGCTTCAGGCTCGCTGACCATCTGGATCTCGGACTTGACGCCCATTCCAGCCCTTTCAGCAGCCTGTAAGGTTGTGTTTTTCGCTGCATCAGACCACACAGCCGGGCAAGTGAGTACGAAATCTACGTTAGTTGATGCCATAAATGATTCTCCGTATCGCCGAGTAAGGGTGTCCATGGTGTGTTTATAGATCTCAGTGAGATAGTCGCTGACGGCATCAACAACTGTCTTATTATACTTCTTTAGCAGCGTGGCAGTCTCCTGCGGGCTGACATAAAATGGTAGTTTCTGAGATCGGTCGAGGAAGAGCTTAATACATCGTAACCGCGATTCCTCCGGCTTGAACTGAAAACCCCATTTCACATTGGGCCTCGTCCCCGCCGCCGCATCGGGCGGGAAGTCGTATGAAATCTCAGTAGGAACTTTGTCAGATGTGATGCCGTTCCCCCCGGGCCACGTCTTGATGATCTCAACGTCATCCGGCGTTGATGTATATACTGCGGCTACCCTGTATACTAGTCAGTTTGCTGTAGCCGTACACGACGGTCTCGTAGCTACATAAATTATTATACTAGACTCACCCAGAAAACGTGGTACCGAAGTCGACACCGACAATGAGGCGGTCATTTATAGTTAGAAGCTCCCGAGCGGGCTCCCGCACCGGACCATTGACGGCTTCTGTGGATGCCGGCGGAGTGTAATTAGTAAAATAGTTCCTACTAGCCTGATTCCTGGGACTTGGGGATGATCGAATTGGTAAATTGATATTCATGATGCCGCTCTTTTCGATTCTGTCAGCGTTGAGACTCATTCAGGTATACCAATGGTCCAATATGGGCCCCCTGATATATATTTGTGGTCTTGTCGTCTTGGCGTACGCGCCTTTGTTGGGGAAGAGTTGCGACAGAGCGTGAGAGAAGGTGACCAATTGTAGAGTATTAGTAATCCAATAGACTAGCGGATCCAGGAATAAGAAAATAAATAAAAAAAGGTTTATATAATGACAAGAGTGTAAATTAAAGGAGGATTAGAATAGAATAGAAATGTAAGAGAGTAAAAGATTAGAGTTGAAGCGTGAAAGTTACAGCCGTTGCACAGCCGCTCTAGCTTCCAACCTTCTATGTCAGTATGCAACTTGCGGGGGCTGACCTCTCCTAATAGACTAGAGAAACTTTGGTATTTTAACTTAACTAGTACCTTGGGTAGTTAGTGGCATTTAATTCTAAAATTCTCATCTTTTCTTCTTCAAGAATTCCGTGTGAACACCAAGTTTCGTAAAGACTCTTAAGAGTGAAGAGGAAGAGGAAGAGGATAAACCTGCCATAAATAGTACGTAGTTATTCTGGTTTATTCTGCTGCCTGAACCGAAACTGCTACCTGGATGCATTCCGAGTCCAACGAGGCAGGTACCAATGTATCTCCCTCTGGGGCTGATTTCGAGCTTTAGGGCTACATACATAGGTACTTGACGTATGCATGTATACCACTTTGTCATGCTTTTATAATAGGTACCAATTCGCAAATATACCACTACGAGCATCACTATCATGATGAAATCTAATACAAAGGAGTCTTAATAGTCCATGTAGAGGGAGGACTCTTGAGTGAGGACTCTTCTCAGAGTTGATTGAGAGCTAACGCTATGCCCAGTGTACGATATAAATAGTGCTGCATTATATACCCGTCCTTCGATTACCATACCGTATATGACAAACTATCAGGGTTGCAAACCTCCAGACATGTCTAGACGAAAAGTTAAATTCTTCCGGGTCAAACTAACCGCCCAAAACACCAAGATAACATGCGGATTTTTTTCTACTTTGTACAATTGCTGTGGTTGCCAGGCCCGTCTCAACTGTGCCCTACTAATCACCACGCGTATCCCTAATTATCTTTTTTTTCGCCGTCAGATGCAACGAAGTAAATGTGCCTGAGGCCACCCACATCTAACAAAGGGAATCATGTCTTGCCGGGTCCATGCCCTTTTGAACCTTGCAAATCAAATCTATAGTGGGTATTCTCGAAGATAAGTACGGGCGAAAACACAAAATCAGCTGGCCTTTAACCATAAACCAGCCGCTGGGGTATTTGAGATTCGAGATTGTTACATCGTAGACTGGACTGGCCAAATGTCGAATCGGACTCCAGATCGACGAGCGGAAATCGAGCCAAGATCGGAAAGTATGCTGGAAAATGAGCGCTGCAAAATATAATGCTGTAAGACTCCGTAGAACCCAAAATGAACTCCTAACACCGTGCCATGAGGAACATGTGAAACAACCAATACCAATCGAAATGTTTAGAATCTGTTGCCAGCAGCCCAAATGCTTGCAGCCGCCGAAGATGCCCACTCGCCTTCTTCGTACGGAGGAGTAGGCCACTTATTCTGACCATCTCGTCCCGAATTTTTGCGTAGGTCTAACGGCTTGGGTGCTAGGGATTCATGGCCATCCCCGAAAAGCACGGCATTTCCACTAGCTGATGGGGACGGTGTCGGATACGGGTTCGAGAGCCCAACATTACTGGCTGATTGTCGAAGATTGGCCTTTCCTTCCTTCTCGAGTCGCTTCATGGCTTTATGGGTAGAGTGAAGTGCTTCGTCTAGCAGCTCATCTTCCTCGTCCAAGGCGTCGCTCTGCACGCCGTGAGTTGCTTGCGCTCTCCTCGTTCGGCTAGAAATCGGCCCAGGCGTACGAGCAACCCCGATAAGGTTATCAACAGATCTAGGTTGCTGATGAGGTAATGAATGATGTCGCTTCAAGTTGCCACTTGACACAGCCATATGAATAGGCGGTGCGGGAGTACTCAGCGCGGAATTATGGGAATCGTGTAAAGTGCGATCTAACGATTCGTAATTGTCCACCTTCGCCGTAGATGCGTTCTGGTCAATGACCATTGAAGATCGATTGCTAGACCAAGGCCCACAGCCTGCCTGTGCCTCGAGGTCCTCATACGAAGGCGAAGCAGGAGTTTGATGCCTACCAGAGAACCTCCTAGCTCGCTTGCGTAGATGGGAAAAGAAGCTTTCTTTGTGCCCACTCGGCGGTGAAGCTAGCCCACTGCCGCCATTCAGAGCCCGTTCAGCTTGTTGCCGGTGCATCTCAGTATAATGGTTTGTGGCTGAGGCTACCGAGAGCTGGCGCCCGATCTTTTTAGATTTGTCGTTTCCGCTGGCATATAGATCATTATACGAGGGGGTGCGGTTCGACGCCTGAGCAGTCACAGCATCCGACAAGGGCGAAATAGGTCGGATCGTAGGCAAAATCGGCATGGGAGCAACATTCGATGGCCCATTAGTCCATGTAGTGCGCTTACCAGCGGCTGGCCTCGGTTTGGCAGCAGGAACTTCCGCGGGTTCGGGTGAATGAATTGGCGATGGACGCGGAGCCGCAACTATATCCTTCACACTGATAGGCGCAGGTGGACTTTCCGTGGTATCGTTGCGGCCGATTAACGATTTTCTGAACCAGGAGGGCTTTGATGAAGTTGGCGTCCCGGAAGCAGTGTCTTTCCCACGGCTTATGTCGGATTGCTTCCGACCTAGTATCCTCGATGCTGACGACTTAGGTCGTAATGGGTCAACTGCATCTGTGAAATATTCATGAGCCAATGCCTGGGTCGATGTTGGCCGGCTCTTCGGGTCCCACATCAAACACCAAGTCACAAACTGGCTGAGAGACGCGGGCCATTGAGGTGCCTGAAGTATCGTGTCCATTGAGTGCGGTGCCATCTTCGGGAAGGAAAACCCAAGCTTTCCAGCCAGTCGTGTTCCTTCTCTCCAGTCTCCTCCACCTACTCGAGCGCCCGCCTTGTTATACCAGTTTCCGGGACTACCCATAATCTCGCAAACCCTCCAAACCTGATCAACTTCGTTACCTCCTGGGAAAAGAGGCTTCAATGTTGCAATTTCGACCGCCATGGCACCAACGGCCCAAATATCTACAGGTGCAGAATATTCACCGGCTCGCAGTAGTACTTCCGGAGCACGATACCATCGCGTCGATACATATGTTGTGTAAGGTAACTTGGAATGCGTCTCTCTTGCCAGACCGAAATCAGCAATCTTCACAGTGTATGCCGGAGGCGTAGATGGCGGCGTCATCAATGCTGAATACCGTCTGAAAGAGTTAACAGAGTCTTGGTGTGCAGATGTCGTGACAAGAATATTCTCGGGTTTAATATCGCGATGGAAAAAGTGGTGGGCGTGGATATGTTCGAGACCTTGCATAATCTGAAACAAGATGCTCTTGACGCTTGCGTTGTCGAGGCACTTGTGATCGCGGGCTTTCATAAGCTGATACAAATTTCCTTCCATGTACTCCATACATATATGGAGTTTCTTGGTGAACGGATCGAGGAAAATATCAAGAGCGGGAACCAAATGGCTGTGCGGCGGTAATGTCCTTAGGAAAACAACCTCTCGAAGCTCAAGACACGGTGTGAAGGACTCGAAGGTCTTCTTCATAGTCTTAATAGCAACCTACAAAGTCATAGTTAGCCTACTGTCTTGCCCATTATACCTATTCACCGACATACCACAGTGCCACGGCGAGCTACGCTCGAACCAGCAGTCCTAACCCTTGCTAGAACCACACTACCAAAACTTCCATCACCGATCTCCTTCAAAACTTCGAATCGATCCTCAAGGGGCAGCTTGTTAGCTTGAGGTATCGAAGACCCCCGGAGGGAATCGTGTGCGACCGTCATGTTGACCATTTCCTGTGTTCTTGTTCGATCCCGATGGCAAGCTGCTGGATAGCCCTGTTTAATCCTACTGAATAAGAGAGATATGACTACCTTCTCTCGTACAGTCACTGTACCCTCTTAACAGCTCTATTGAAGAGCTATACTGACGTACGGGTGCATTCAGCTTGGCGAGAACCGTTGATATAGAACGTAAGCGGTTCGGGTGTTGTCAGGATGGTTACTTGATGTGCGGATACTAGACGTTGTTGTCCAAAAGAATTGTCGAAATCCACCAAGATAGAATAAATAGGATAGGCAATATGCAGAGGGACAAGACAGGAAATGAGCAGGAAGAGAATGGATTAATAGGGTAGCTTAGATGATTAAAAGAGACAAGGGGGTGACGAGAACCGGTATGCCGGAGGGCGGGTCGGCGTGGTCAAAGCTGATCTAGTAGGGGAGGGCTTCTGGAAATACTGCACACTCCTTACTAGCGTATCAGATGTCGTCGTGTTGGGATCCAAGGGAGTGACGGATTGACGATTTCGTATATTGGTTTGGTTTTTTTTTTAAAAAAAAAGGAGAGGATGTAAGATTTCTGACCGTTGCGATTTATTATTATTTCAAGTTTGCACCTTTTCTTCGAATACGCTGCCTTTGATTAATCTCTTTGGCTGGACTGATTGTTTCGAAAATGTATTTGCGAAGTAGACTTAGAAATTCGTCGCCAGGCAATGACGAACTAGGGAAAAACACCGATAGTGAGAGGAATCAACAATTTAATGAAGGCAGGAAAAACTAATAGTGAAAACTAATCGGCCGGTTGTCTTATCGCGCATACAGGCACCTTTCTGTATGTGAATATGAGCGCAAGCTAAACCATAGACTGAAAAAAAGAGAGTGAGGGAGAAAGAGTGAGAGAGGAGAAAGAGATACGGGGTCGAATTGGAACGGCCGGATGGGAAGGGATCTCGAACGAGTGGACGAATTGATGGACGGATTGATTGATTGAAGTGATTTCAGAGGTGTTTGACAGCACCTTCTCATGCGCTAAGCTAGAAACTGGGAAGGGGGGAGGGGAGGGGGGGAATAGGTTAGGTATCTTGGGGCAGCTTAAGCAGCTTAGCATGAATTAAGTTCCCCGGGGGAGCATAATGACACCAATTTCGCTACTCACCTGTGGGCAGACGTCGGGTCGCCCAGAAAATCGAGCCAATCTTAGCAATTTACGCTTAAGACCAGGGGTATGAAAATGAGAAGAGAGAAAAATTTTAGTGAGTTACAATTCGGGTGGATTCCCCTTTTTTTAGTTTAATTAGCTATGGTCTTATTTTCCCTTTTGGATACCCAACAATCGCCATGCCTTTTTCGTGATTCCTGCGGAGGTACCTTTCATATACCTCTTTACCTACGGGCGGTTAGTGCTTTTTGAAAGGAACTCTCTAGGTACCGATGCGCGTTCCGGAAATCATTATTATAGGTATGTAGTACCTACATAGTAACTGCATAAAAGCACTACTCGGATATTTCGTTGTACATAGTGTGTATATACTTCACTTTTACTGTATTCTTACACAATACCAGCCATCTCTGCTGCCCGCTATGATGCCTGATAACATTTCCTGCCCCCGTTGAAATTTTATTGGCGTTAAGCCCTAGTTGACGTACCTAAGGGAATTACCAATTACCAGGGCCGAAATCCCACCAAGATCAGATGGATTTATTCGGTACGTACGCAACGAAGACATGACGCACTGTGAAGGCTATTGAAATGTGCAATAAGACGAAATCTGTAATGTATCATTCGAAACCTAGCCCTGCTTAGATCAATGGGTCATTAATCCTGTCGTCTGCGCGTCAAGTATCAATATTAGGTATTATACGCTAGTATCATTGATCATATTTACTATGAGCACCAAAGACGATGAGAAGCCGGATATAATAAGCACGCATACAGCGCTGAGATAATAAGTATGACATTCAGTCGAGGTGACCTACCTTATTAAGATGGCTGATTTATAGACATTACACGGGAGAAACAAGGGCTGCCTAATAGGGAATACATATACATAAATAAAAGACGCGTCGGTTGGGATCATATCCTGCTGTATCTACCTCATATAATTAATGCCAACTCAGCATAGATGTACCTACTATGTATGTATGAGGTAAGCATTGGATGTTTATCTACTACTGTAGTGTATTCACTCCAACCTCTTTTTGACGAATGATACTATTGACCGATTAACGGGCATCATCTAAAGTACCTACCTACATAACTCTAGAGGCGAAGCTCGGTGTGAAACCAAGAAAGTACTGATAAGTACCCTACCCAATCTACGATCTCCCGTCAATAACACCAGATGCATAAGAACGGCGGCAGGTCTTCCTTCTACGAGCAAAGTAATGGCTGTTTCGTCATACCTGTTCATTGTCCTACCCATAGTAGGGGCTTAGGCATGTAGAAAAATAAAAATAACTCGTTCCGGCTTGAATATGCTGCGCCTTACCGATCTGTGGCTTTTGTCAGAATGAGAAAATACTTGTTCCTTCTGTTCAAGCTGTATCATGTACTCAGTGTACTCATACGTATATCTATGATATAGGTACTCAAACGACGAATTCTCAGGTTGCTTTAGGTAATCAAGATCCGTACCTGCGTGGCCGCGGTCCATATGTAGAAAAAGGGGGGCCGAGAGTTGCGCGATAGTAAGTACATAAGCATCCCATCTCACTGCTGGGTCGGGGAAGAAGCTGGTTCCAAGCGGGGATGATCGAAGAGGAAAAAAGAGAGAGGCTGACAAGATTTAAGTGTCTCGATCACCTCAAGAACGAATTGGTCACACCGTCTTTAGAATTGAATTGGACGACTATTCACTATTCGCGAAGTATGTATTCGTCCGCATCCATAAAGGGAGGCCGAAAATGTGAAATCCCAATTCTGGTTAAGAGCAATGCATGATACTCAGGGACTACTGCCCGTTTAGACCTGCCAATGGAGTCGTTCCTCACCATCGGGCGACGTGGCTCACATTAAACGAAAACGGCCCAATCGACTTAAGTCTTTCTGGGCAAAGTCCGGAGCAAGGGACATACCGCGGGTTGAACAGGGACCATCCGTTGGAAAAAAGCCATGCCCATGTGGAGAAAACTTGCATACATTATGTAACTAGTTATGTACATGCGATTTAAACTGCACTTATACTTTGACAGAACTGAGAACATTATATTATAGGTAGGTGGTGTATATATGTAGCACATATATTTAAGAATCGGAAACTTTCATCGATCACCTACCTAAGACAGATTCTCCATCTTTAACCAGTTCGATTTATATACATATAGGACTCCTTGTTATACGATGAATATTTTTCCTAACATGTGGTTTGAGCAATGCTTGCACCCTAAACTTGCATGAATGGATACTCGGTACCACGTTCTGTATATTAAACGATCTAAGCCCTTTTTAGACTACTTAACGAGGAGCCCCTGAATCCATTGAATGTTCATTGAATTTTGAACGCGTGATACAGTAGGTATGTACCTGATGTACATAGTTACCTCAAGTACTAAGCTACATGCATGTACATTAAGCATTAGGTAAGCTGCTGGTCCCATCTATTATGCACATAATTGCCGCTCTTCAAGGATAGAACGCGTAAACTTCAGACTGCGTAAACTTGATTCTCACGCGTGTGTGTACATGAATATGTACGCAATACAAAAGATTACGTAGTTTCGACCATTCAAGATCATGCAACAATGCCAGTAAACATCCATATGTATTGTTGATTGTTGATTGTTGACACCATTTTTTTCATCTTTTCGAAAAACGGTAAACACGGCTATTTATTGAGTCTTGGTAAATGATAACTTATAGCAGACGGCACAGTCTAGTGTATACACTACACACAGTAAAAGATCGTGATTACGAGTCAGACTCTTGCTTAAGCCGTAGGGATCAGACCGTTGGCGATCACCTACGGATCACACTGCCCGCGTGGCTGCATGGTCCTTACGGCGTCGCACGAACTTAAGAACGGCCAGGGCGCATCAAGTGGTAATAAGGTGGAGGACGGGATGTCGATAACAGATGCATGTTTAATATCATCTATGCTTATTGCTGCAAGGTGCGTCTTTCAAGCGTCTGCGATTTCAATTTATCAATTTAAAACGCGCCTTCGAAGCGCATAATAAGCCCCGGATCCCAAGGACGGGCTCGCAGATTGGCGGGTCTTCGACGCCTTCTTCTAGAAGCACGAATGCGGTATGAGTCCAGGGGCTTTCCAGCTCGGGATCGTGGAGCTAGCGTTTTACTACTATCCTTGATGGCCGATCTATTTCCTTCCAAGACCCTTTGATCTACTATCCTAAATCCTTACTGCTGCAAAGCTATGCTTTTATTTCTGCATGTCTGACTGTCGGGTTGTTCTCCGCCAGGCCCAGGCACAGGCACACTTCCAGAGGAGGGGCCGGACCGCCTACGGGATTTTCTTTTTATGTACTCATCGACCTGATCGCTTACAGTGGAACCTTGAATGTCTCTCCGAGATCAGGCTGACTGCTTGTGGAACACAGACCGTTCCCGTTGCCAATATAATTCGGTCTACTCTTCCCAGTGGCGTAAGCATTATGGCATCTTATAAGACATCCTCGTCTTGATACCTTAACCTAGGTAGGTAGGTAGTATGTAAGAGACGGGTGTACAGGGACGCCACGTTCGAAGAGACTTCTACGGTTCTGGTTGAGAGACGCGAGACATATTCGTGTTGGCATCTGAATTCTGTAGTGTTTGGGTCAGTGCTATTGATGTCATGAGCACATTATACGATTCATGGACCAGTCCAACCATGTGGCTACTCTGTTTCACGCTTCACACTAACCCCATAGGTGACGATTTCTCGGATATTTCGACTGCAGTTTTCAGCACCACCCCAGTCAGTTAGTTCAAACAGATGAAATTATATTTCATCTAGAGATAGATCGATGACGAGAGATTCACGAGTCCTTACGAGCGCGCAAGATAATGGGTGCCCAAGAGTCCAAACATGGCCGAATAGGACGGACACTACGATGCGCAATCCGCATATTCTCTTCAATTTCCAAATTAATTGTATTGCTGATTCAAGAATTAGTGAAAAGGAGGCGCTACGCCCAGCTACTTGAATATACAGCTAAGGATTAGGTGCGGCATGCCGACGGATCCCTAGTAAAGTCCAAGGCCTTTGCCATTAATGGAGCTCACTGACGTAGATTCAGTAGCGTTGATAGGTGAGGCAACTATCACATCGCGGTAAGTTCTAGAGGTAGGCTACGTAGGAGGCAGTATCAAGAACCACCTCATCGCGACGATGAGCGAGTTCGCGGGGACCTTCATGTTCCTCTTATTCGCATTCGGCGGTACCAATGCCGTAAACACGAACCTGCCGAAAACCCCGGCCACGGATCTAGCTAGGTTGCTGTACATGTCTCTATGCTTCGGCATGAACCTTGCCGTCAATGCCTAGGTCTTCTTCCGCATCAGTGGCAGTCTATTCAACCCGGCCGTGACGATGGGCATGATGCTTGTCGATACCGTGGATTATAGGTGGCATTGCGGCTGCGGCTGTCATCTCCGGTCTCACGCCCGGTCCGCTCAGCATAAGCACCAGTCTAGGTGGTGGAACGACGGCGGTGCAGGGCCTGTTCATCGAGATGTTTCTCACAGCCCAGCTCGTGTTCACCATTTTCATGCTAGCTGCCGAGAAGCATCGCGGGACATTCATCGCACCTGTCGGGATTGGGTTGTCGCTATTCATTGCTGAGCTTATGTACGTCTCACCTTATTCCTTAACCTTTTCTCCCAGCTCATCTCAGAACACTTCAAATCCCTTATTAGGAACTGTACTAACATACCATTTTACAGTGGAGTTTATTATTCAGGTGGAAGCGTAAATCCAGCACGTTCCTTCGGCCCCGCCGTCGTCATAGGGTCCTTCTACAATTACCACTGGATTTATTGGATTGGCCCCATCCCAGGCTCGCTACTTGCGTCCAGCTTCTATATCTTCATCAAAGCCCTCGAGTACGAGACAGTGAACTCGCAACAAGATGATAACAATGAAGCACATACCGAACCTAAGTCCGATCCACAACACCTTGAAAACCATGTGTGTTCGTGGGGTGATGGGACAGCAGGAGTAGCTCGGGTTAGTACGCCGTATAGAGGACGGACAAGTTTAGAAGCCGGTCGCATTTGAGTATATATGCGTTATAGCTGTTGTATATTTATGTGTGGCACGCGTAGCGATATCGTAGTTCTTTGGTTTAGAGTAGTTTAATGTTTTAATATAATTTTAATTCCAATTAATACGAATTACTAGAAATGCAAACCTCAAGCCAACCGCAATATCATATGAATTAACGGATTTTGGATCAATCTCCCCTTTTCCACTCAAAAACTACTTAATCTACCCAACATAGATACCCACGTAGCTCTAACGCACCTAATTACCCAAGTATGTAGCGAATGACTATTAAGTACACCTTAATCGACCTAATCTTGATCCTATATGTTACGTTCCCTCCTTTTCTTTCTTTTTTTTTTTCTTACTCTTCCTACCCCCACCCCCTTTTCGATCAAGCAGAACGAAGCAAGATCAGAGAAATTTCATTTAATAGGTAGAGTGGCGGCGAGAATGCAGAATTCTACTCCCCCCTTTACTACTACTCTCCGTTCTGTGGTGATGATGGTGATGGCGGTGGTGGTGGTGAGAAGACGACGGCGACTTTAATACTTCCTCCCACGTCGGCCCTTTGTCGTCTTCCGCGACGCTGCGACGCCGGTGATGCCCATGGCTATGGTGGTGGTGCTTCTTCTCCCCGGTGTTTAGGACCTCCGATGATACCGCTGCCGAATTCGTAATTCCTGTCTTACCGCCGTTGCTGTCGCGGCGTGAGTGTTGCCGCTGGGTCGTGGTGGCGACTAGCGGCGTCGAGGAAGTGTTCGTATCCGCGGCCGGACTCGAAGCCGGCGCTTTGTTGCTGACCGTACCCTCGTTCCCGCTCCCTTGGTCAGAGGCTTCTATTAGCGGTAGTTCCGTTTCGATCCGTCCGCCGCTGCTTTCACGCCTCCTAGTTTCCTCTCGAGCGCCATTCTCAGATGCCGCGTCCGGTTTCGCGAGGCTCATTGCGTATCCGCGCCTCTCTGCGATGGTCAGCGGCGGCGGCGGCGGCGGCAGGTATCCGGCAGGCCTGAAATAGCTCGCAGATGCGCTGCTAACGTCTGGCGCCGAGGCCCGGTGCCCCCTAGGCGGCGGAGTCCGCGCGCGCTGGTACGTGCTTCTTGGGGAATAGAGTACGATACTGCCAGCACCGCCTGACGGGGCAGGCCGGTAGCCGCTGGGTTCTTTATTATAATGACTTCGCTCCCGCTCGTGGTAGGGTTCATAGTCCCGGTTACCTGTAGGAGGTCGATCAGATTTCTCACCATTCATACTCTGTAGGTATCGTCCGCAGTGTTGTCCCGCCTCGGAGCCAGCGGCGAGTTTGTACTGGTCTTGCCGTGTGTACTCCTCGGGAATGACATAACGGCGAATTACGGGGACGAGACTTTTGTCTTTGGTACTCGACGGCGGTGGCGGTGGCATAAGCGCCAGTGGGGACCTCGGGCTAGATGGCTCGAGCAGTCTAAGGTCGTATATCAAGTCGTCAATCGCAGCGGTCAGGATCTTCCTAGACTTGGGATCGTGCCTCACGGGAAATTGACTGCGAAATAGTTGTCTAGGAAGTCTTTCGAGCTCGCCATCGATAGGGGGGGTATCGGCTACGAGCTGAACATCCGCTACGATCTTGTCAAGGCGGCGGAATTCCTCGTCGGGATGCGCGAGGATACATGTCGTAAAATACTGGGCGAATCCGGCGGGCGTTAGAGCAGGGACTCGTGGCCGGGAGTAGAAATCGAGCGGTACTAGATGGTACTGACAGTCCAGGTCTGTGAAGAAATCGGCGAGACGATCATGGGCATCCCTAGCCCTGGAATTGAGGATTTCTGTGTATTTACTTCAGCAAAGATCCTATAATCGCATGTGTAAACCCTGCAAGTCGATAATACTCGGGCGTCAATAAATAGATTGATCAAAGCTCACCTATAAGAGGGTAGATTTCTTGGTCCATCCTATATCTCGAATAGAAAGCGCTGAGCTTCTCAGGTGTGATAACAAGACTACTACTGTTAGGTGCCAAATCATCGATCTGTGACCCTAGGTGTATTAGTGGCTAATATTACGACATCTCTCTTCTTATATATAGCATACAATATATTTTGCCAGGCCTCTAAGAAACTGATTGTTTCGCGTGGTAGCGTACCCGTTCTCGTCAAATAGGGTACCCCATTCTACCACCGTCCCAGCTCCAATGCTGGATCGTCGATAGATCGTAGGGTGGCCGGTAGACGTACGAGGAGGGCCGCGGTCAGAAAAACGGACCCCTGGCCGCGACGTGTCTCCTATTTCCGTGTTCTTCGGGCTTAGCGGGGTTCTGCTAGCAGACGTGCTAGTCGTGCTTGTACTTTCTCTAGAAGAAGATGTGATTGAGTTTGAAGAGCTCGAAGTTGACTGTCCCTGGTGAGGCTTAGCGACCTGATATCCTTCGGCTACTTCGGCTGCTTGTCATCAGCGTCTGCGTCGAGGTTATGAAGACCGATTTTACCTTCATCTCCCTCTGTTCTACGCTCATCTACAAAATCGGTAGACATTAGTATTGAACTATTCGAGTTATTCAGGCCTCTTAAGTTGGATGGGCGGCTGCCGCCATTGAAGGGCATTTGAGGGTGGCCGCAAGAAAGCGGCCTACGTTGGGACGCACCGTTCTCCGGATACTTAGACTCCACTATGCGAATACTTTGGCCCTCCCAATTACGAGTATGGATATTTGGATGATTGACCTTGTCGTACGAAGAGAGCTGTTCTGCCATTATCAACCAGAAACTCGAACAGTCCTACCGCTCATAGGAATAGAGATAATACCAAAGTAAATAAAGACAATTTAGAAACAGACTATATTATATCATATATCATCTACAAAACTTTATTAATATAAGGGGTGGAAGCCATAATGTTAGTTGAACGGCTGAAGCCTTCATTCAAGGGCTCCCGCACTTCACGGGTGCTCACAGTAGAGCATTACCGTCCTTGGCGGAAGCCGGGCGACAGATTAGCATCTTGAATGGGATCATCCCTGTTATTCAGGCATCGATGTTCGGGAGAAAGCTACGTGATACGCACGACATACGATCGGTGTTACGCTTTCGGGTGGGAAAGGGATGGTCGAGCGCACAATTGTTTTTTTTTCGGGAGAGTCCACGGGGCCGTGATATTTCGCTAAGGGGGGCACCGGCGGGCTATTACCGCGGTAATACCCTGGGCGGACTCTCGAGGGTTGCGTCTTTTTAGCACGTCTGGTTTTAGGAGAGCCGTATGGTATACACGACAGTAGCGTCTAGTTCCGTATAAGAGGGGATACACCTATGGGAATGTGTGACATATTATATTCAAATTGAAGGTAGTCAGGCCTCTCCCATGATATTTACAGGATATTATCGGATGGCGTATATCCTCAGAGAAGTATACACGATAGTGTGAAAGAGGGATAAATATATCCCACCAGATCCAGCCGCCACCCATCCTGCGTTTTGCGATGCCCTTTCATCGAAACTCCCGATTTACATCGTATATGCTCATATCACACGTATTACAAATATATTCAAATTCGAAAGCGTGCGTCGTATCCCTATTTAAAACTCCCAAAGGCCACCGTTCGCGAAAAGAACGATATACGTATAAGTACCACTTCCTAATTCAATTTCCAGGGCCCAGGTATGTTATAATCTTGAAGTTCTTATTAAGATACCTATCCCCGAGATAAAGTTAGGCGTATGTGATTTAAACCAGGTAGCTAAGCAGAATGTAGAGTTTGCAAGACATTACGCCGTCGAAACCATCGCATAGGTGGACCAGCTCATATCTTGAAAACGTCACAGCTTTGGGTTTTTTTCTATTATAACCTCTTGGTTTAGTTTATATTAGATACGATGATATTTATATATGATTGTCCTCCCATATTCGAGTGCCTAAAATAAATCATATTCCTCTCGTCACGACAGGCAGATTACTTATTATAGGAGTCTGTTAACGTGGATTTTAAACCAGGACGGAATTATACTACGTATGAGAACGTTCATGCCACGTAGAAATATAAATTATAGCCATTACATACTTACGGAGCTACGTAGATCGTATGCTTATCGTGATACCTACCTAAGTATTTAACGTGGGAAAAGACAACGTCAAGAGTACTTTCTATAAAGTACCCTTCCGCGCCGGCTCCTACCTCACTTTACTACTACTTTAGTTACTATTGACGCGTTTGGCAGTTATTAGGTCCACGGTGCTTGCCACATGATGTACCTACCATAAACGTACCGTCTATTGGGTACCTACCTGGTATGCAAAGTCTTCGCGGTTACCTAATAACTATTCCTTCTCAATCTAAACCTTAAGTCTTTCCTCCGCCTCCACCTCAAAATATCTCCTTCACTTCATCTCATACACAATCACCATTTCCAAGACGATACCCTCTCGCCTCCCCAGCAACACTTCTATTCGTCCTTATCACATAAGCACACGAGGTTTAATTATCAATTCTCCCTCGTGTGCTTTACTGTTGCCTGCCACTAGTCCACTGAACCGATTCTCCTCGCTCTCCCGGCGACTAGGCTCGCAACTGGAAATCACTTCAACCTTCACCTAAAATAGGCACATCTCTATTCCACTTTTCTCATTCCGCTTCGGCACTCTTAAATCGGTCTTGCCCGACTCGATAACTCAAATCATTGCGCAATTATTTTCCATCGCTCAAGGAGTCCTAAGGTACGTTATCATGCTTTCAACCCTCCTACTCTCGTTCATCTCCAAAGACTTCGGTCGTATTTATTTGCTATAATACGTCTGCTTTCTTGCGCATCTGATATTCAAACTCCCTTCTTCCCATACGCTCTACCGATATTTCACTTGATTCGCGCCTTTCGTTAACTCATATAACTAATACTGGGATTGATGATAGGCGATACATCTATTCCAATCATAATCACCATTATACTCGTCATACTCGAACAACGTTAAAGATGGCATACAGCAACGGCACTCCGGAGACGTAAGTGTTTTATGATGTGATATTTTCTAAATCCTACTAATATCGCGATTAGGTTTAAATGTGCTGTTGGTGGCGAGTGGCTCGCCTCCGATAAGTTCTCTCGAAACCAGATTTCTAAATGGCAAAAGGTCAAGCGTGACGATGGCGTCACTCCCGCGAATGCTGGGCTCATTTGCAAAGAGCATACTCAACAGACAGCGGCACCACGAGAGATTAGGTGCAATGGTCCTTGTGGTCTGTGGAAACATAGGGATCACTTCAGCAAGACTCAACGTAACGACCCCAATGCTGTAAGTTTTAGTTTCCTATCCATATCCGTTCTTGTTGACTAACCGCCACAGCAATGCATACCCTGCACTCTCTGGGTGGTTAATTTTAACGGGGATGAGGCCCCTCACGGTGCCCCCAACTCTCAGTTGCTCTCCCACGAGATTCAGGCGCAGGCGACGGGCGTACAAAGCGAGGCTCCTACCATTGCGTCTCCCCGTTCCGCCGTTGGTGATAGACCTAGCGGAGTTCTTTCCGATTACCAGCAGGCTCGTATTCATGGAGTTGAGGTTGGTGAGGTTGATACCATGGTGGTTCAATCGGCCTTCACGATGCAGCGGGGCGTCGACTCCACCGGTTCACCTGCCAATTCCGATCATAGGGGTCCCGTTTCACCTGCCACCTCCGACGTGAACCCCACTGATAACGGCAAGCCTCAATCGGTAGCCGGCTCCACCGCACCTGCCGATGAACCTGCCGATGAACCTGCTTTTCGGCTGTACGGCTACAGCCCATTCGCTCCTGCTGCTGGTAAGAGTGTCGAAAAGGCCACGAAGGAGGAATCGGCGGGAGATAGTGAATTGCCACCCATGGTCCCGAACAAGCAGCCCGGTAAAAAATGGTTCAAAGGAGTAAGTGCTTCTAAGTCATACCTAGTTTATACTACCTGGTAACTGACAGTCTACAGGACACTCGTAAAGTATTCTTTGCGCCACCGGCTTATGCGGCTCGTCCGACGGACCAGACCAATCTTCGATGCGTTGAAAGCGATAGTAGTGATAGCGATAGCGATTAAGCAAATCTCAACTACGGTATACGGGGGTCATATTGCATGGGTTTAATAGCTTGCGTTGTTACATATAAGCGCAGGGTTTGAAGGTCACGGATAGTTGGTTGTGAATAGGTACTAACTACGACGTCGAAAGTAATTAATAATGCGTTCTGTTTCACTGCGTATTTTCTAATAAGCAGCATTATAACAATGTGAATCTCTCTCCCCCCTTAGCAGAATTTGAGAATAGTTTTCCGCTATCCATAAGGGTGTGATCTTGATTGGGTCCATGTCTTCAAAAGGAGCCGAGCTCAAGAAGGCAAGGTGGCCTCTGACTATTACTTAGGATACAAGTAGGCTGTTAAGCTGCTCTACCGAATATCAATACCGAATATGCAATTCACCCAGCTAGTTTCATTGCTTTTCTATAACCAAACTCAATTGTAGTAAAGTAGTAGGTAGCTTTATATCCTACCCAGTCAACTTGCTTGGAAGGTGACATAGGTAGCATTTTTACGATTTGTAAAGTAAAGTAAATAAAAATTGGCTAACTAATAAATTCTTAGGACCGAAACGCAAGTTGTTTAAACGCGGGCAGTCGCATCGTGCGTCTTCTCCTCAGAGAATTGCTCCCTCGTGTACTCGATCGTCTGGGTCGCGGACGGGACCTTAGGCGGCGCAATGTCGCGGCGGAAGATATAGTGGCCCCAGAAGTACAGGAACTGGTCGGCGCCGTAGCGCACGAGGCTGCGGAGGGGGACGTTGAAGACGGCGTCGAGCTCCTCGAGCGTCTTCTCCTTGGTCTCGGGAAGGAAGAAGAGCACGAGGAAGAAGCCGACGATGTTCCACGCGGCGTACCACGAAAATGCGCCCTGAGGAGTCCAGGCTTGAGTCAACGCCGGCCACGTGAGGGAGATTACCGAGTTGAAGAGCCACGTCGTCGCCGTTGCGAGCGACATTCCTATCGGACGGATGTATAACGGGTACGCTTCTGCGCTATATGTGAACGGGACGGGCTGAGAGGTAATTAGTAGGTACTAAGAACTCTTCGGGGGATGCCGAACTGCTCTTACCCCTTCGCCTGGAGAGTAAACCACGCCGTATAGGTATATACCTAATGCGATGCAACCAATGTGCGCGGTACTGCCCTCCGGGATCCAAAAGCTAAAGCCCGTGAAAAATAGAAATAGAGACATCAGCTATATCAGTTAAATCAGCTACTGTCCTAAAAATTGGGTGGCTATAGGTTACCTATGTAGGTAAAGGGATGGACTTACGGGGAAAGTAGTAAGGAGTAGATTGCGCCGGCCAAATGTATCGATGGTGTAGAAGGCAGGAATAGCGAACAGGAAATTGACGATGCCAAAACCGAGCGAAGCCACGAGAGCAGCTTGGATAGAGAAGCCGCTCTCGACGAAGATTTCCGTCGAATAGTATGCGATGGCATTGACACCGCAGAACTGTTGCATAAACATTACAATCTCTGATGCTATCATGGCATTTCGGTTTCGACGGATGGTAAGAATTTCCTTGATCTTGCTCTGGCCTATGTGCATAGTCTCTTTTTCGATCTGAAGCAGAGTGTCCATATAGAAGAGGTCGCGCGCGGCCTGCACCTTTTCGTACCGCAGCTGACATATAGCCTTATAAGCATCGCCATGCCGATTTTTGGTAAGGTACCACCGAGGTGACTATAAGACTTTTTTTAGTACCTAACAATTGAATCACGAGGGGTTCTATGATACTTACTTCAGGGGTGAAGTATACGATGGCACAGACGATAACAGCAGGTATCAGGGCAGATCCCATCATCAGGCGCCAATTTAGACCTATGATTCCCGACAAATTCGGGACATTAAAGAAGGCCAAATCCATTACGTATCCTAGCATGATACCGAAAGCAGTCCACATCTGCCACTGCATAACCAAAGCACCACGAAGCTTCGGCGGAGAACACTCAGCAGCAAAGATGGCTTATAGATAGTTAGCGTCGTTGATATTAACCACGTTACGAAGCTAAAATGGTAACTTACGGGTCGTAGCCGACTTTGGACCAATACCGAAACCGAGAGCGAAACGAGCGATGAACATATGCCACCAAGTGTTTGTAAAGGCTTGCCAGAAACAAGCTAAAGCTGATACGGCACAAGAAATGAAGACCGTACCGCGACGTCCAAAGGCCTTATTCATTGGCTCCGTGAGCCAGCAACCGACAACGGCGCAGCATATGTACGGTGCAGCTAGCGGGCTGTCAGCTATTGTTTAAGTGTTCGCCAACAAGGATAGGCTTACCGTTGACGAGGCCCAGTAGCCACGAATCTTTTAGGACACGTTGATTAGCACGTACGTAAAATGAATATGTATCAACGCTTTTATAGCTTACCTCTTTGAGAGTTGGAGTCTCCTATCCCAAATTCTGCCTTATAGAAGGACTGCGCACCGTTGACTACAGTCTCGTCCATACCTTGAACGGCGGCACAGAGCGAGCAGATGACGATGACAGCGTAGAGCATTGTGGGGTTTGACCATTTGTGTGTGATCTCCCTGTCGAGCACCTCCCTTTCACGATCGGTAAGCTCGTCGACGGTGTCGTACTTATTCAAGTTACCGGCGATCATAGCGCCGAGCCGGAAAGCACGAATGTCGTCTGCATCGGTGAGGCCGTGCTTCGCACAGAACTCCTCACCTCGCTGGGCTAGCTGTGTTGGAGACAGACCAGCAAGAGGATTCCCTAGTTTGGCCGTGGCCTCTAGACGTCGTCTCTCCCCTTCATCTAGTACATTGTCTTTAGTTTCCCGATGTTCGAGTTCCGATGGAGATGCGTCCGAATAGCCTGACTCTTTTCGAGGTTGGATCTTCTCGGTCTTTTCCCCTAATGAGCCGTCTTTGGGCGGGTCTCCCGAATTGGAAGCCATGTCTCAGCATCAATCACTCGATTATGAAGCTTTGTTGTGAGTCACTTTGATTTTCAGTCTACTTATCTCGCCCCCTATAAGATTATGTAGCGCTAGTATAAGCGTAGACGAAAGGGCACGGAAGAAAGTGAAAGTGAAACTGAAGCTGACACGGACAAAAAAGCAACGATAAGTAAGAACGGGACTAATTATATTAGTCGACTAGACAAGGCAGTAAGAACTTTGACACCACCCGGCGAGCCACACGGCGAGAAGACTACCTACTCGACTAAGGGGGGCTAGGGCTCGGCAGCTTTATTCACAAAAAACGACTGTCGATCATCGCGTGAGAGTTGTATATGACGAACGAGATGTGGTGTAGTACAGAGATTATACCTCAAGCCTCGTTGGTCAAAGGTTCTTTGAAGGATCACATTCAGATGAGCCGACGTCATCTTGTGGTGCTGCCTCATTCGCTATGGCAGGGGGTACTCCGGACTCTGGACTTGCTAGAGTATAGTATTCCTGGGGTAGGCCAATGGAAGACGACTACTGGTCTTTGTGCTTTTTGCCAAGGATACTCAAGCCTCCATCCGTTATAATTCACCGATTAGCCCTCTAGGATATCAGGTGTAATATGAGAGAGCGGTGACGTCGGTAGTTCTAGACTTGCTGGTATGATCTACCTACGACAGCATGGATGGCGATGGTTAACAGGCTGGATACTGTTTTAGAATTTGATTATATTAAAAGCGTGATAGGGTAGAATCCCTCGAAGCTACGTTGCGCGGAAACAGGAGCCAAAAAGACTCCAGATTGTACTACCACATTATCCGTGTAAGTGAAGTGAATCAGCTTTGAATACGGCTATACGGCTGACATGACTATGCCGAATGAAGTTTTGTGCATATCGAAAGTAACTTGAGGCTTTCATATAAGTCGGTATGACATATAGGATCAGCTAAGGCATTTTTTAAATGTAGAAGATGCAATATTTAGCATGTATTATAGGGCAGGAGGTTGTAAGTTCTGAGTTGTAAGTTGTCCCGCTATGTATAGGTACTATATGTAATTAGACGTTACACGAAAGCCTTGTAGCCACCTTAGGTTAGGCACCTTAGGTAACCTAGACCTTACCCAGCCGCCCAGCTGCTTCCACTATTACACATTACACGCATCTTTCTCCACCTAGATCTGCTGTGAATAATTGTAACCTGTACGTATTCTTCCTCCCGACACAAAGGAAAGCGGAGGAAGGTGTGGCTGCTGTGGTCATCCCAAAGTTGGGGTATATACCATGTAATTGGCTAAGACCCCCAAATGGCGTCCTGTGACGTAACCCGAACCACACTTTTCAATCAATAAGCTTATCATTCACTTTACATACTGAATAGTTACTTTCTCCCCGGTCTGAGTATTGTGCACAAAACAGGTAGCTAATGGATGGTTAATACTGAACCTACTATTAGCCCTGTGTAGATGAAAATATACCTATAGTCGTAATAAGCGGCCAGAGCGCCTAGAGCGAATTTTGATAAAAAAATGCGATGTATATTCGTATCAATGATCTAATCGCTAAGTTAAGATGCAATGTGATAAATGATTTTTGCCGGCATTCCGCGGTTGTTGGGCACCCGCGTGTCCCCCTAGTCGCATCGAATCCGCTGAACCATTAAGTCGGCGATGCGATAGGTCATGTGGTGCGTCGTACATGTACTGCATAATATTCGTAATACTCGAACCTTAGACGAGTCAAGCAGTAGATGAAACCATCTCGTCTTCCTTGTCTTACCGAGCAGCTCGTTGTTTGCGCATTTTATAACTGAAAGCGGATCTGCGCAACTTGTGCAACCTGTGCTAATTCCTGTATAACGTAGCACCACGAGATGCTCGGTAAGGTTGTCGAGGTTGTCTGATTTTGTAAATTCCTTCAGTCAGCCTTGGTTACACTGACATATATACAATGCTGAGCGCCTGCTGGGCAACTCCAAGCTGATGAATATACGTATTATACGTATGATCGGCACCGTTGTTTGCCCCTCTAAGTAATACCCCTAGACCGCCAGACACCTTCAGCAGGTAATGATGTACAAATATAGTACCTATGTACTAATTCAGCTTGGAAAAGACGTATTCCTCGACTGTCTGGTGGGAGTTCCTATTGTTCCGGTATCTTCGCCTGCGCTAGCTTTTCTCCGGGCTCTTTTCCGCTTTAAGGCAGACCACTCTGTTTTCCATGCAGAGATGCTTTCTCGCAGTTCCTCATCGGCATCTTTCGGCACGTAGCTTAAGCACTGCACCTCGATCGCCTTTAGCTGAATCTGTAGGCTAAGCATCTCCATCTCACCTTCGTTTCGCTCACATTCGCTTCCCCGTGACTGTCAGCACCGGTCGCAACTTCGAGTAATGGCCGGCTTGGCTAAACTTACAGCTCCTTAACCCGCTTTTCGAGATGAATGATTCTCTGCGCGGCGCGTTCCGCACGTGTGATAAACAGTTCGTGAATATGCTACATACCTACGTATCAGACAGAACGTGCTTATATAAGTAGGCGGCTGGTAACACTCTTACCTCTGTCTCCTCCTGCCGAGCGCGTAGACCCGAGACAACCTCTTCCAGTTCCTTGCACAAATTTTGTGCTTCTGTGGCGATTCGATTAGCCTGCGCTGCCGACATATGAGACCCCTTAGCGGCAGCGACTTTGGGAGTGCTAGGACTTCCTTCAGTTTGACTTCCTTCAGTTTGGGTTGATGAAGATGCGTATGTAGGCAACGGCGTGGTCGAAATACTGGGCATCGTATGCCCTGGTGTTAGCGGTCCCCAAAAGGAGTCGCGCTCACTTCTGTTATCCCGGAGTATCAGGCTGCTAGGTCTAGACCTTAGAGATCTTCGACTTGGCGGATAGTCTTTCGTGGATAGGGCCTTTTCCATCTCATCCACTTTCGCATGGAGACTATTGACATTGTGCTCTTGGATATTATCCTGTTTGCTCAGCTGAGCGGCGAGATCATTTAGTCGCTGCACGAGGACATCTTTGCTGTCTTGTACAACAGATTCTCGTCCGGGCCGGCCTGCCTCAGCTAGATGTAGAGCGGATGCTGATTTAATAAGGGGCGATGAAAACTGGCGACGCGCTGGAGAAAACGGAGACATGCCCAAGGAATGAAGACGCAAGGACGGCAAGGATGGTGAAGCTGGTGGTGATGATTGAGGAGTTGCGGCGGCATGGTATAATGACCAGGGGTGATGATACTCTTCTGGCTTGGCGCTCCTAGGCGGCGTCTGCAGCGCCGGCGTGGCCGGAGTGCTATCCGGCTCTGCATCCGAGTCTGTGTCCGTCATAAGGCAAATCAACGTAACCTCAGCCTCGATAACTAGCTTAGACCAAGGACTTCCGTATTTGGATAGGAGCGATAGATGAGCCTGGTGGGAGATGCCTGACGATGTGACATATTCTTTGGTTAGGAAACATAGATGCAGCTCGATGCAACCTAGATCCGTGCACCATAAAAGCTGGCCTCTGTGAAGGCCTAAGGCAACAACGGCTATTGGAAGTACATGCGCCTATGTTATTAACTGCACACGAGGCAGTCATACCGGACCTAGAGTATATTGCATACTCCGATGTTAAAGCATTGGATCCGAGATAGTTAAAGTTTGGTAGTTACGCGATATTCTCGCACTAAAAATATGAGGATAACCTCCTTTTCCACTTTCGAAACAGTTGCAAATAGCTCAGAGATCAACCTTCAAGGAAGTAGTCAAAGCTGGTAAAGAACTAAGGCTATATTTGGCGGGGTACCCCGGGTGCATTGGCAGGTACAAGGTAATAGGTAAGGCACTTAAAACTTGGAAGTGTTTCTTACATATTATGCGAGACTTTTCAAGTCCATCTTGATTGGGAAAGTGCCGGCTCTGCATGTACGTTAGGTTAGGTACTTAGGCAGGTAGCTGGTATTGAAGCTGTACATAGTAGTGTAGAGCTGGTAGGAGGTAGGAACAGCTCGTTGTCAGACCGGCAACTGCCCGTCAATAGAGTTTCCTTCTCGGCTGTACTCGCATGGTTTCGGTAAAGTGTTCAAAGTATTCCGTATTTACTGGGGAAGCAGCTGGCGAAAGCTGTGCAACTTTTCTTCCCATGTCTCCGCGCCCCCACAAACAATCGGCCAATGACGGCTTTCGCAACTCTTGCACTCAAATGACCGGGTCTCCTTGTTCTCCAAACGTCTATGTAACTCCCCCATTTCATACGGTCTCGTGATTTCGACCTTTCCAATGTCAGTCTTCGAGATAGTACATCTATTCAACCCAATGATGACCTATTGTCGTCTCTATTGCTGCCGTTGTCCTTCTTAATCGCTTGTATTTTTTTTGTTCACATAACTAAGGTACTTAGTTATTAATCATAAAAGTCCCACGTTACGTTGTTGAGTGCGGCTACCTACCAACCTAGACTTTTCAAGCTCCTTGTTCTTTTACACTAGAGCCTCGGCACTTTTACAGATACACTAGGACCCTGCTATCCTGCTATCCCGCTATCCGTTGCTATCAAGCGTCATCCTAATTCCCGCGGGGTGACCCTCCGATCTAGTCTCGTGCTATTGCTCATACTTCAAAACTTCCACATTTTCTAATTCGAGTCTCATGGCCTGAACTCCTCTCCCCTACCTGAGATCTTATACGTCTTCAGGTCCGACAAGTCTACCACCGAGCCTTCGCTGATCAGACGAACTCGCCCATCATGTCGTGGAAGGCATCTGAGAGGCTAATGGACACCATCCGCCATTACTCCCTCTTTCCTGCTACGGGTGTGAGTTTAAGGCAGATGGTCCAGTTTGGCGAGAGACCCTCAGTCGGTATGTTGCATTTACTTCTTTTGTCGTCATAATTACGAATGCAATTTTCTGACTCAACATCGTCGTCTAGGAACCCTGTTTCGCGCTTCTCAATTCCTCGCCGAAGAGCTCCCAATCCGTCTTGCGCATCGAGTTCAGGAACTCACGAGCTTACCTGATGGACTTAGTGATATGCCATCGGTCAAGAGAGTCCAGGATTGGTACGCGCAGTCGTTTGAGGTACGCCCCCACCCCCTCTGACTTACCTGCGATGGTCATGAGCGTGAGTCATCTGATATGTTATGATAATAGGAGATCATCAATCTCGGACGGCCCGAACTATCAAGAGACGTGAAGGACCGACTCTTAAACCCGGGAAAATTTAGCAACGGCAGAGGAAATATGCTCTCCGAAGCTACTCCAAACCCGAGCATTCGCGAAGGCCAGTATGCCTCGGCGCCGCCGACACAAATTGGCCTAGGAAACAGCAAGAAGTACCAAGCGGCAAGGAGATACTTCGCTATGGTAGACGATAATGGCGATTGGCCACCCGAATTGCAGGCGTACAACTCCAAATTTGCACAGACATTACACAAGATCAAGAGACGGCATGACGGCGTTGTCACAACGATGGCACAGGGCATCCTTGAATACAAGCGAAGGAGACAACGGATGCAAATTGACAACAATATACAGTCCTTCCTAGATCGTTTCTACATGTCTCGAATAGGTATTCGTATGCTTATCGGCCAGCATATCGCCCTGACGGACCAGAGCCATCACCGGGACCCTACTTATGTTGGTATTATCTGCACGAAGACGAACGTGCGGGATTTGGCGCAAGAGGCTATCGAAAATGCTCGGTTTGTATGCGAAGATCACTATGGACTCTTCGAAGCACCCAAGATTCAACTTGTCTGTAACCCCGATCTCAACTTTATGTACGTTCCCGGCCACTTGTCGCATATGCTATTCGAGACCTTGAAAAACTCGTTAAGAGCTGTTGTCGAGACGCACGGGCAAGACAAGCAGGAATTTCCAGTAACGAAGGTCATCGTCGCGGAAGGAAGAGAAGATATCACGATCAAGATCAGCGACGAGGGCGGCGGAATCCCACGAAGCGCCATCCCGCTAGTGTGGACGTACATGTACACGACTGTAGACCGGACCCCTAACTTGGACCCTGACTTTGATAAGAGCGATTTCAAGGCGCCGATGGCAGGCTTTGGCTACGGACTGCCGATCTCGAGACTTTACGCTCGGTATTTTGGTGGCGATTTGAAACTGATCAGCATGGAAGGGTATGTCGCCTTGGTATCTTGAATTTGCCTCATCGCCATAAGACTAACTCGGAAATTTAGGTACGGAACGGATGTGTATCTACACCTCAACCGCTTGTCGAGCTCTTCGGAGCCGCTACAATAGCAATCAGCAGTCATGAGGGAGTGGACTTCGTCCCAAGGATTGACGTTGCCGCACATGAGAACGATGCAGAAACGGCTCAAATTTTTCGAAGTCTCGGAGCGTAAGCAGGTCGGCGACGCGGAATCTATGATCAGCCAGGAGGGCGGCCGCTTTTCTCACATGGATGACGAGAAAGCAGAGCTATGATCATTTATTTGTATGACTTAAGACTACCCCCCCGGATCTCGGATCGATGCGTGTTGTGTTGCTCGCCCGAGACGGGACGGATATAAGGTAAGAAGGGAGAGATTCAAGGGTCAAATCAGGGGACACATAATAGGCAAAAAATTAAATAGGGTGTTGGGGCACGGCGTTCTTCCCTCTTATATTTTCGGTCGTCCTTTTTCAGTCCCGCTTCTCCAGTGCTTTTTTGCTTCCGGACGGGCACAGGATGATGGGACTATGTATGTATGGATGGGAGAAAGGTGGCCGGAATGATATGACTTACTTACCCCTCTGCATCAGGGCATGGTGTGTATAAAAAGCGTGAAAAAAGGCCATTTCGGAGAGGAGCTTTCTACAATGTATATAAAATAAAGTAACTAACAGCATTGATTGATTGAAGACTTTGTTGTTGTTATACTACCTATCCTATCTACTCGCTATGTCTCGCGATGAAATATATATACATATCAATAATATGTACCTGTACATGCATAATATAGGTAAGCATAATAGGCCCCCCTTTTCTTTAAAGACTCGACGTTTTCACGGTCCCTTTAGTATGTTAGGTAAGGTTTACACCCTCCCCTATGATTGTTGACCCTTTGCCGAATATATATATGTACAACCATTAGCAGACCAATAAATGGACCCCCCGACCACCCGCTCGATGACCGGCCTAGGTTACCTTTCTCCCTTTCCTAACGTACACTGCCTGTCCTATCATATTATATGCCTAGTAGCTGTAGAGTCGCTCCATCCGCTACACATACTATCGTGACACTATCTACCTCCCCTTCGATTTCTAGCATGAGGAGACGATTGGTTTTAAATCTTATTTACGCCTTGTACATTAAATCAATGAAGCCCGTCGCCAAGTCCACAACGACGGCTTTATTCGGCAAGCTGCCCGCGACACCATAGAGGGCCGCCGTATCGCCCGTGGCCTTACCCTTCAGGGCTTTACCCTCAACAGCGCGAACGCGCTCCTTCTCGCGCTCCTCTTCGATGACGGCCTCGAGATCGGCAACGAGGCGCTCCCAAACCTTGACGATGGGCATGGTGACGGCGACGTGCATAGCGGGCGGGTTCTGCAGGGCGTTGAGATGCCAGCCCTTGGCGTTCATGCCGTCGGCGATGTCGTAGATGTTGAGGTTACGAGCCGAGAAGGAGACGACGGAGACGAGGGGGCGGCCGAGCACCTCGAGCTCCACGCTGAGGGTGGGGGACGACGCTACGTGTTCGGCGATCTTCTTGGCACACCCGACGATCTTGACGCACGAGTCGATATATCCGGCCTCACCGACTCGCATCATGCTGGTCCAGCACCCGGCGATGAGGGCGCCGGGGCGGGAACCCGCGATTCCGGGGGAAGCGTACACGCCGCCGGACCAGTCGGGGGAGACGAAATATTGGTACGTACGCAACTCCTGGGTGCGGTAGAGGACTGTGGAGCTGCCCTTGGGCGCGAAGCCGTACTTGTGCGTGTCGCAGGAGATGGAGGTGACGCCCTTGAGGCGGAAGTCGAAAAGTTCCGTCTCAAAACCGGCCTTGTCGAGGAAAGGGACTAAGAAAGAACCTAGACAGCAGTCTACGTGTAGCGGTAAACGGCGCTTCAGGGCTAACTTGGATAGGGCCGGGATGTCGTCCATGATGCCATGAGGGAAGTTGGGCGCAGAACCGACAAGGAGAATTGTGTTGGAGTTAATAAGACGAGATACACGGTGGACATCCACCTGGTATGTCGGAGCAGGGCAAGGCACATAGTGAATCTTGATTTTGAAGTAGTCGCCAGCTTTCCGGAAGGCCGTGTGTGCCGTCTCCGGGAGGATCCTATAACCCGTCAAGTTAGTGATTCCAAAGTATAAACCATGTAGTTGATAGTTAATGTCATTGTAATACATTGGACATTGGACTTACATCTCAGGTTCCGTTACGCCACGCTCCGCATATGCCTTCTGCCGCGCACCATAGCATGCCATCAAGATACTCTCGGTACCACCGCTGGTGCATACTCCGGCAGCGCTGGGCGGGGCATGGAACATGGAGAGAACCATTGCGACAACCTCGGCTTCCATCTTTCGCACTCCGGGGAAGACATCTGGATGTATCGGATTCGCAACTGTAAACTTTCCATAGGCCTCCGTCTGCAGCTTCAACAAATCTTCCTCGCCATGGTACACGGCCCCCGACACGTAGCCGTCTTCCCACCTGGTATGTTCCATATTTGCCAACTTGTCGAGCTCGGCTCGTAAGGCGTCATCCGTCCAGCCTTCTTTTGGTAATGTGGTGTATCGCGTACTGTCGGCAGGTATCATCTTTGCTTGTATCTTTGCTAACGATTCTGTAATCTGTTTCCGTACCTGGGTTCGAACGCCCGGGGCACGCAGGAAATAACCGTATAGCACACGTCGTACATCGTGGTATAATTCTGCTATAGTACCGAAGATGCCGCGGCCCTTCAGCTTCCAAAACGTTCGGCGGACTATGCGCAGTACGAAGAAAAAGAAAATAATGTTCTTAAGTCTATACAGAGACGGGACGGGATAATTAGTTTTTTATGTTTTATGTACTTTAACTAACAGTAGTTAAAGTAACACTTGGTTATATTATTAAAATGGTGTCAAAGACATTGAACACTTACATTTCGACATTGAAGACTTGCCGAGGATCGATCGTCCGAGATCGCTTCTTCACGCTATCAAAGCTTTCGCGCAAGCTAATAGGCATTCTCGAAGAACCCGGCATGGTGTCGACTAATTGTAACCAAAACGGGCTCAATTGCCAAACAATCAAATCCGTCTAAACTATCCAGGACATTTAAGAGGAAGGAGATTCGAGAGAGACTTCAAAGTAATATGTGTGTGTGTAGTTATTGGTTTTTATCTAATTAATTAACCCCAGAAAATCCCAAGATAAGTATAAGTTTCGTCAGATCCGTGGAACACGAAGCTACGACGGTCCCGCGTCCCGCAGAAGAAGGGAACAGCGAAGGCCAAAGTACGGCCAGTACGGCCTACACTAATCGTCACATGCGCAAGCAAGGATGTTCGGCAACAGCAGAGGTGGATCCCGCTTGTCTAGCCTAGGCCCGTCTTCCCAGATCCGGTAATACCCGCCAAGGTAATCGCGAATGCGAGCTATTAAGCTTCTTCTTAGCGGGTTTGTTATGGGATGACAATTGCCTGTCATCTCACTGGCCGTTTATGAGGTATGTAGGTCAAATTGAGAATATTATGTAAACGCTGTAACATAGGTGGCCTTAGGTAGCTAAGGTATCAGGGCTGGCTATCGTATATTCGAGCTCTCCGGGCGTTGCATTTAATTAAAGAAATGGGCAACAATTGAGGACTCTCGTATAAAGCTAGTTGAGTATTTTCGAATAGTTTAGGTACCTGTTACTTGTTTCTCTTAACAATTCCCTAGGGATTACAATAACCTGTTATTGACCTGGAAAGGCTTAGAGAAGATCTTCAATCTTGCCAATGCTTAGGGGCAGTGATTCTAACTACGGCGCGAAGATATGATGGCTACTATAGTCTATAACTTACATGATAAATAAGGTACATAGTCGGTCCCCTGTCTTCCCCATCTTGAACTAGATATGCAAGTGCTTGCTTTAGCTGTGCTGAGTTTCTAGAAGGTTAAGCCACACAGTGTAATCCGTAGCTACCTGTTACATATATAGAACTTACCGTAGTGCATAGTTACCCAACTTAAACAATAGTATTATCTAAGCACACTAGCGCATTAACGTTTCTCCCATTGTTCTGCCCCGCCAAAACCCAAATCCGACTAATAAACGTGGTTTCCTGCGGTGCGTGGGTAAAGCATATGAAAGAAGACGACGTCAATACACATGGACATACCACTCGTCGCTGTACTAGGAAACACCGGCGTGAACTATTAATCTTATTTTCTTTTCTTTCTTTCTGAATGAACTACCTCTCTCTTCTCTATGGATCGGTATAGCTCTAGCATCATTGCCTCAAAAAATAACAACAACAACAACGACAACAGCAACAAACCCAAACAAATGATATGATGGAGAACCTATCGATGCACGATCCTCCACCTCAACCAGGCGGCTCGTCGCTGGGACGCGCCGCCGCCGCCGCAGCAGCAGCTACTACTACTACTCCCCAACCGCAACAGCTTCCTCCCCAGATGTTCACCACTGCTGCGCAGCTACTAGACCTCACCGATAGTAAGGCAATCGATGCGGCGAAATGAGCGCCGTCTCCAGGAGGTCCTTTGTTAACCACCAGGTATATTTATAGAAAAGCTTTTGGTGTGTCTACGAGATGGCCGGAAACTAAACGGCGTTCTACGAAGCTGGGACCAGTTTGGTACATACAAAATCCCCCCAATCTCATTATTATTATTTTCCGTTCCCGTAAACTAACAATACCATCTTTACCCCCGTCTCAGCAAACCTGGTCCTCCAGTCCACAGTCGAGCGCATATACGCCACCACATCCGACCCCTCGGACCCGCAACCAAAAGGCCTCTACGCCGAGCAGACCCACGGCATCTTCCTCGTCCGCGGCGAAAACGTGCTCCTCCTCGGCGAGATCGACCTCGACAAGGACGACGATCCGCCCCCTGGCTTCGAGAAGGCCGAGTTCGCCGTGGTAGAGAAGCTGGCGAAAGAGCAGAGAGCCGTAGAAAGGACGAGAGAGAAGAAGAAGATACAGAAGCTGGCTACGCTGGGGTTCGAGGGCGAGAACATTGGAGAGATTATACTCTAGAAAAGGGGTACTTGGGCGCGGAAGTATAAAAAGAAAAAAAGGGAAGAAAATCACGCCACGGGGGAAAGTGGTATATACCCAAGATGGATTGAGAGACAGAATATTGTGAAATGTCTCCCTTTCATCAGCCCTAGTACATAGGACTGGTAGTCTTGCGGACGGGAATTAGAGGCCTGGAAGACTGCTCTCCTCTCCTATAACAGCAGCAAACAAGAGCTGCACTCTAATTCGTGTTGGTAGCTTGTTGTATGTATTTAGAAAGCACGAATGTATTCTTTATACCTGGTTGTTATGAGATATGCTCATCGGGTTGGCTGCCCTAGCTTTTAGAAATGCATAGTTATACCTGTCACTTAAAAGAAATCCTTCATGCGCAATAATAAACCGTTTCACAAATGGCAATGTAGGATAGATTAGGTACCTATCTACGCATTTAAAAGGTGTGATAGCCTTCAACTGCCGCCTCGCTTCATATTATTCGTTTCCATTTCTCTCTCTTGGTACTGAACCGTTTGGAGACTCCTTTTGCGATAGAGCTAACTACCTAAAGCAATTCGCATCCTAGTACTATTAGAAGTTGACTGTACTAATCACCACAACACAGACTTTGTCAAGTTGGTTTCTATTTCTTGATAATCTTCAGTAGCGAAGCTATCCGTGTTCGTTTGCTTAAGCCAACTCGATAAGGTACCTTGGGTTGCGAAGACGTGGATATGGGCTTAGGGACCGTGCTTCCTTTCTCATTAGACTTGTGCTGATCGGCTAACTGTTTAGGGGTGGGTTTCGCGGGCACTTCCTCAGCCGACACTGGTTCTTCAGATGGCCTGGAGTTACTATTAATTTCTTTCAATGCGTCTTCGACGTCGTCCTTATCTGTAGTTGGATCTTCCTCCTCCTTTCCTTCCACTTCGCTTTGGGGTTTTTGTTTCTTCTTGGGCTTCCGCTTCTCGGTCGCTTCAATCTTCTCCGAAGTCATCTCGCTATGCTGGGCGTCGTCCTCATGAGCCTTATGCGTAACGTGGGGGTCATGTTCAGGAGCCGGCGCTGTTTCGGGCTTTGCTAAGTCTGACTTCCGAGGGCGACCTCTTTTCTTCTTAGGCTTCTCTGGCCCAATTTGTACCTCGGGGTCTTTAACAGCAGGGGGTATCTCTTGAGCGGCAGCCTGGTTTTCGACGGGCAGCTCTTCTTGCAGAATCTGTTCTTTCACAACCTGCTTTTTCTTGCGACCACGCTTCTTTGGTTGGGGGGTTGGCTGAGTCTCTGGCAGGTTATGTTCGAGCGCATTGAAAGAAGCGGGTGGTGGCGCCGTTGCAGGTATCTCAGAGGCGGCATCGCCTGTCCTATGTGGTTCTTCTCTGGGTAGGTCCTGGTAGTCTTGCTCTCCAAGTATTTCCTCATGTGGATTTGGGAGAAGTCTGATATCATCATCTCCATGTGGACTGGGTGGGTTTGATTTTGGCTCGTTACGCCTTCGTTTGTGTTTGTCTTGGTGCCGATCAACAGCCTCATAATCCCGAGGCCCATCTTGTAACTCGTCTTCGTCTTCATCTTGTATGCTTCTTGCCCTCTTTTTTCTTCTGCTATACGGGCTCTTCGGGGTGGTATCTCTAACTGGAGGTTCGACCTCATCGTGTGCTACCTGCGTATCCACAAGTGCTGCTTCTACCGGGTTTCTCTTCATATAACCATGGTCAGCCGCAATGACATCTGGGGAAGACATAATCTACAAAATCATTAGCTAAGTTGAGAACCCTTAGATGTCTGAGTACACTTACATTTATAAAATCAACGCTTTCGTCAGGTTCGGCATCAGCAGCAAGGTCTCTTTCCCACGGAAGCGGCGGCCCAGAAGAAGAAGCATACCGACTAGGAGTTGGATACGCAACTGTCGACATGCCGCTTGACTTTAGACCGGGGTATCCATTTTGCGACACATTGACCTTCTCATATTCGAGTTTCTGCATGGTAGTGAGGTTACTCTGAGCGATATAAAAATTCGCTATCGGCGCCGTATCCTGGACCACGGAGTCATTGAGTGAGACTTCATTCCGTTTGAATACGGGCAGTGGTGATGGCCCAGTTCTGTGACTTGGGGCAAGCATCTCATTGTGCAAAGTCGTGTCTTGGGCTGTCTCCTTAAGTGCATCATCATCATATCCCATGAATATCTCTGCTGCTGCAGAGCTCTTCGTCGCTTTCGATTGGCTTCTTCTTCGTTTACCATACGACTTCTCATTCTTTCCTTTCAAACTTTTGGTAGTCCTTGAAACCATTGCGTCTTCTGCACTACTAGGCACATCCCATTCCCCAGATGCGCTCTTTGGAAGCGAGACCTCCCCGCTACTTCTGCTCGCCTGCTGACTTTGACGGACTATATTCTCGATAAGATGAGATTGATGAAGAGCTCTATTTTGCTGCTCATCATAAACACTGGCAAAGAAGGATTGGTCCGTAGTATCAGATATATGATTGTGGGCGTCTAGTACATCAGGGCTTGACGGCCTATGACGTGGGCTTAATGGTTCTACTTCTGGTCGATTAATTCCTTCATCTTCTCCCAGAGGACTTAGTGGATTGTCTTCTCCATCTTCGTCGTCAGAGTCGGCAATTACTCTCCGAGGCACCATCGCTTAGTCAGTTGACGCGTTTTGACGCGACTCGTTAGACTCGAGATAGTAGTATTTAGTAGTATTTGAGGTACCTCCAAAAACGAGATGTATAACACAAAGCCAGAAGTAGTGCTGTGTGAGTTCTTATTAAAAAGGAGGTAATGGAACATACGAGTAGGTATGTATCTTCACTGCATTAGCAGAGTTCCATTAGGATTTGTATTTCTTGCATCAGAACCATGGTCGTCATTGCTCAACTACATAATGTACTTCGAGTATTTACGGATTACATAGAAGTACATGCCTAATATGCCTTAAGTGCGCGCATATGTGGGGCAATAATTTGGCCCGTGCACAGCATCAATTATCCCCCTAGTTACATAGTACGTAATTCAACACCTACATGTACTTCATATCTAGGGAGGCTGCCCCTGTCATATACAAAAATATTCAAAAAATGCACATACATCACGAGTCCAAAAGCTTCTTAAAATGGTTCGTCCATAACCAAAGTCATAATTGAATCCCGACTCTGGCGCATATTTACATCGAAACGGACTTGCCCTTCAAAGATGGGCGATTAGCTAAACTACTAATCTCTCCCAGATCGGTATAATACTGTCAGTATTATACTTGCTACATATAAGGCTACTACTAGCCCCTAATTCTTCGTCTTTTACTGGTATCCCCTGTTGGCTCATCCGCATCATCCTCAGTTGTGTTCGTCTCCCCACCGGCTACGCTCATACTACGGCTTGCAGATGGTGGCACGCCCGTCGGCGGAGGCGCGTTTCGCTCTACCTCGTTGCGGAGGTCGCTTAATAACTTCTCAACCTCACTGAACATGCTACGAGTATCCTTTACGACTCCGTTCTCATCAACTTCGTAGCCTCGGTAGTCTTCCCCGTCACCTTCTAGACTGGCCCGTCGGTTCGATTTCAGGAAAGAAGGCCCGAAGCCACGGTAGGGGTCCGGGTTGTACATGATAGCATTCGCAAACATGTGAACCAACTCTCTCTCTAGCTGCGCGATATTTATTATACCTCGCGGTGGGACTAGATCCACTGACATCGGAAGCCAGACGTTTGTTGCACTTGGATCAATATCAGGCATTGTTGCTACAGCTATCGATGCCGCTTTAGACCCCGCAGTGATCGCCTTCTGAATGCCTTTAAGGTCTTGCGGCCGGAGCACAATTTCGAAATACCCTGGCGCCGTCTTTGGTTTCACGGGATGCGCAAACATGTTGGCATGACGATGACTGATAATTTGATCCAATGCAGATTGGCTAATCTTATTGAACGAACGAGTCCACAAAACGTGCGTAGCCGGTATTGGCGGGACCCGGTTCGGGGGGCTCTCTTGACGTTTCCGTTTATTAGACAACTGGCTTGGTCCGGGCTGGTCCCTGCTAGTAACACTTTCATCTGGTGCGGTCGCGTGTCCAATATCCTCGAGAGCCTGAGGTGTTGCCTCTTCATTCTTGATATTACTTCCTGAGAGATCCAGGTCCACCGGGGCCTCCTCTGATTGCGTTAAGGGGGTTTTCTGCGTGGCACGTGGTCGACCTCTAGGCCGATTGGGCGTTACATCGGGCTTTTGTATAGCCTTCCGTATATCCTTTTTTCCATTCTGTTCAGGAGAAGCCTTCGGCAACTGGGCCGACTGAGGACGTGGGCTAATGGGCTCGTAGACGGGACTCTGGATATCAAAATAACCGGTCACGTCGTCTACACGCGGTGTTGCGGGCGTAGGGGTTGATGTCCACTTGGTTCCATGCCCCCTTATAATGTGAGGAGAGACGGCTACTGGTGTATGCGCTTGGTTCGCCGACAGTGGACGAGTTGGCTGAGGCGCCACCACCGGGGCCTGTAGTGGAGGTACTTGTGGGCGCTGAGTAGAATCAATGGTATCGGCTTGCTGGGCTGGCTGGGCTTGTTGATTGTATGATAAGCTATATGATTTCGAAGCTGATTGGCCCTGTTGAGGTGTCGGTGTCGGTGGTGGTGGTGGTGCTTGGACGGGAGTCTGCGGAGGATATGAAGGCCGGGCCAGACCGGGTCCCGGAGACCATTGGGTTGGCGGCACGGGAGGTTTGGGGGGGCTTGCGGCTGGGTGCGGCTCTGATAATGCAGCAGGTGGTCGGACAGGTGTTTGAGTCGGCGCGTGCGAACTTTGATGCTGGGCGAAAGGACCAGGTCCTATATTGGGACCTGGCGAGCTTGCCGTAGGGATTGGAGCCGGACGTCGCTGCGGTACCTGTTGCCCTGCGCCGTCTGGAGTTGCATTTAAAGGTAATGATGGAAGGGATGGTGGTATCTGGCCCGCACTCTGCGGTGGTAAAAGCACCGAAGGAGATGCTGGCGCAGATCCTTGCGTTGAGGGTCGAGGCGCTTGGCCGTACTGTCCCGGAGTCTGCCTACCGCCTCCATAATTCTGAGGTAACTGAGGGAGGCTGGTTGGGGTCTGGGGATATGTCGGAGGCCTGGTGACTCCTGTGCTGTAAGGGGGTCGAGGAGACGGAATAGGAGTTTGGTGAGTCGGCTGATGTTGTAGCAGTGGTGGTGGCGGTTGATATGAAGGTGGAAATGGAGGTTGAGGAGAAAGCTGGTGGGGAGGCTGGTGGGGAGGCTGATATGGAGGCTCCCATTTTAAAGCAGGCGCGGGAGTAGGGGTAGGAGTATGAGGTTGAGGTTGAGGTTGGGGTTGATTAGTTGGTATGGGCGCAGGGCTTCGACCTTTGGGGACACCTTCAGGTCGTTGAAGGCCATCAGGGACGGATGGCTGAGGCGTGGCAGAACCTGGACGTGCAGGGTATCCTTGAACGGCCTGTGGATGTTGTAAAACTGGTGTTGTATTACTTATTGGACGACTTAGTTCTTGCGGCCTATTATCAGGGGCAATATGACGTGCTTCGCTCGGGGGACGAGTAGGTGGAGTAGGTGGAGGTAGCGATGAAGGAATTGGGTGTATAGCTTTCCTCTCCTGAGGCGGTTGAGGAGTATGCGGCGGCTCAGTTTTCCTGCCATGATCATAGGTCTGGGGAGGAACTAAATCTGGTGTTGATACAGCCGTTAAGGTTGGCGTTGGCGGCGGTGCCGGCGCTTGTACTGGTATTGGTGTCGGCGTGTGTATCGGTGTCTGTACTGGTGGTATCGGCGTTGGCGTTGGCGTCGGCGCTGCTTGGCCTTCCGGTCTCGTAGGTAAAGGATCACTGGCAGCTGGAAATCCGTTACTCGCCGGTGGTTCCGTACGCTGCTCCTGAACAAGTCTATTATCCCATTCTCCCCTTTCGATCTCAGCAAGCTCTCGTTGAAGCTCGTCGTACCGTCTTTCGTCCTCTCTAATCTCCCTAATTAGATTATCCCGAAATCGTATATAGAGCTTCTCCACCAAGTTCGGGAGCTTGTCCGTCTGCTCTAGGGCCTCCTGAAAAGTAGACAAGGGGGGACTTTGAAGCTTTCTTTTTCTGGAGTTTGGTGACAGCCCGGCATTGTTCTTCTCGGCAACGGCTTCGGCCTCCCGTCTCCTCTCCTCCTTCCGCTCTTCTCTGAGTAGCTGTAGGGCAAAGCCCTGAAGGGATTCGGGGCTTAGTCGGTCGGCATCGAAGTTGTCCTGTTCAAATATCAAGGGTGTTTTCTTCAGGGTCTCGGAGACGCGACTGAAGGTACCGATGACCAAGCCGTTCTGAAAGTTTCTTTTGAGCTCTTGGAATAAAGCAAATGCTTCGAGGGGGGTATATGCGGGCGGGTTCTGATTCATGCCCCAGAATCCACCTCGGCCGAGGTCGAGGGGACCGTCGCGTCGCTGTAAAAGATGAATTGGCGCCACGATCTGGTGTCACAGTCAGCAAGCCTGAATATACCTTTGTTTTGGCGGCTCCGACGGGGAAAACACGGTTATGACGCGTACGATAAGAGTTCACAAGGGCCGTAGAAGTCCGTCAAGACTACTCCGACCACTTTAATGGCGGAACAGCGACTATTAAGGCCGGTTTTAGATGAGGCTATTCGCGATGAATATTTTTCACGGTTCCTTGTCGTTGGCAATGGATCACGTGATTGAAATAAGTATATTCAGTAATCCGCAAGGTCGCAGGCCTCGGTGGTGTATGATTCGTGTGATGGATCGGCGAATGTTGCCAGATTGATTGTTGGAGCGGGTTGGAATGCGGAATCTGGGGGGGTTCATAGGTCCGAACGTTCCTGTTAGTGCATATGGCCCGTGCATTCTTATCTTACTACGGAACTAACCTAGTTTAAGGTTCCGTATCGTATCAGCGTATGTACGTACACGTAGGTATGTGCAGATAGGTACATATTTTACTATGAGGTGCCTGTGTTCTATCTCAACTTCCATTTCAATGTTTATCAAAGCCCATTTTTATTAATAACTGGTCGTGCAGCTTTACCAGGTATTTCCTTCTTATCTGCATATATGTAGCGCAGGCAATTTTTCGAAATCTAATAAGACACTTTTCTGCCCAACATACCTCCAGTCAGCATTAACGGTCACCGCATCCAGTCTCATCATAGGTTGCTATTTCCTTTCCTTTCCTATAGTAATTAACATTTAGATCCCCATCTTAGATGACGTGACAGACTGACAGTTAGATCTTTAAATTTTCACATGTGAGCAAGACACGCGATCTTGCTAGGCACGTGCCCAATCCTGACAGCCAGGATGAGTATAAACTAGTTGATGTCATAAGGTTGATATTGACGCTTGAGTATAATACCTTATTTGTACAAATGATTAGACACTCACCTAGTAGGTAGTCCTCGAGATGAATATGCCTGACCTTAATTCCACGAGACTTATGAGTCCCCATAAGACTTGACGAACGAACGCTGAACTAAAGGATGTCTAGCCTATTAAAGAAAAATATAATTTGAAGGGACAACTTTAGGAAACGATAAAAAGAGGCGCTATATACATAGTACGTCTAAAAGATTAATAGTAAGCTATCTAACTAATAGCTCGGCTTCCCGCTCGTCTAAGCGTCCGCATTTACGTGCCTACGAGGTTTGGTTTCAATGGAGCATTTGAATAATGCTACCCTACCAGCCTACATAGAACATTCCTGTTCCTGCAAGAATAAGGGGAACCAAAGTTTGAACAGCTACGACGTGCATAAAAGCAAGGGAGATTAAGTACCTATCCCAAAGTAATCCGCAAGGAAGTAATTCAGGAACGCCACTAGAATAGGATAGAGAACCTAGGTAAGGTAGTATTATTAGATCAACAAGTAAATGATAAATGATTTTATTTTATGTACATGATATTAATACGCGTGCAAGCTTATGCAAGCCATCATCACTTCATCGTCATGGAATCTAATGTCAAACAGCATCCCGTATCCCGTATTCCGTAGCAAAGTTTGCATGATAAAGTAAAATAATACGAATATAATGCGAATGCAATAATAAAACTTTATTAGTTGATTTGGATCATCGTTGTTGAATTCGCATGCATAGACCATCTCGTCTAATGATGAGATCGTCGTGAGATCATCCTAAAAAGCAGCTTAGGACGCCAAGAAGGTAATTATTAGCCAGGCGCAAAGATATAAAAAATCTGCCTCTTCCATTAAGATGATGATGATGATTTATTAATTCTAATTACAATATTCTAATTACAATAGTCCAGTCCCAAGCATAAGACTGATAGGTAGTAATCCCTACCTTATACCAACTCGTCAAATAAACCGATGTAAGTATCGCATAACTACCTTTTCCCTTACTATGTACAATTACATATATGCTGTACCTATCACTATTCCGGGCGTAGCGATCTAGGTAATTAGTTCTTATGCGGAAGTGTTTCAGTCGAGTCGAGCTTACCTTTCCGGAAGTGCAAGTGCAAAACAGTGAGACGGCAGGCAGGACAGGTGGTATAAATCAGGTACCGCAAGGCTCGAGTTCCACCTGTTCGCCTGACCCCCCTTTTTTTCATTCGCTATTCGTCCCTTCAAAATCCACTAACACGCTAACAATCCATACTAACATCCATGAGCTGCTAGGCAAGTCAGGGCAGTTTTTACCAGCCTACGTCCCGATTTTTTTCTGCGACCCGCCTTTTCATCCCCCACCGCCAAAAGCCAACGTCCAATACTTTATCAATAATAATACCACCCAGCTCCAGCTCTTCCCCCCCAGCCCTCTGAGCTGGACGACTTCTGCGACTTCTACACCATTTTCTCTTTTTCAACTTTTATGTACGACGACAACGTAAACTTCTTGCCCAACATGAGCCCCACCGACGAGGAACTCGACCGCGACTGGCAACCCAATGGCCGCCGACCTCAATCGTGAGTTTCCTAGCTGTTACTTGTTGATTTCCTCATCCTCTGTTCTCGCCATCGCTAGTAAAGGGGAAGGCCTTAACAAAAAAATATAATAAACCAAACTCTTCAAACCACACCAAAGCTAACACAACCTCCTCCGTCTAGTACGATTGCCCGATCTTTCAGTCAAGAGCTGATGGATATCTTTCGGATTGAAAACAGCCTTGCCGACCTAGACGAACAAATTGACAAGCGGTATGGCCCATGCCAAGTTCCCTACTCTCCAGAGACGTAATTCTCTTATTACGCTACCTTGACCAACGGCCACTAATACTAGATTTTCTCATGACTAGAAAACAGCAAGTCAACCATGGCCAGACCGAATTAGAGGCCCTCGAGGCTAGAATTAAGGAGATGGAAGAGCGACTGAAGAGGCAGAACCCCCCGGGAGTCGCCGGCAGTATGAGCCCACGGTCTCAACAGCAAGCCGTTAACGATACGTTCGGCAAGGCGTTGTCTGCAGAGAAGGATCTCGCACAGCAGCAGCAAAGGTCTCGACCAGGAACTGCTAAACAGGTACAGCAAGCACCTGCCCATGGAGGAGCTATGCCTCCGACTCCCACAGCCAGCGAAGGTGAATACGTACTTGTCAAACATAGCTCCTCTGGTGACGGCGCCGCCTGTTCTCGAACTTTTACTGACTATGTCTACGTTTCTAAAGATGGTGGTGACCGCGACAACTAAATCGGCATAACTGCGTTTCAACAACTTCTTTTGATCCTGCGCTCCCCCTAACCCGGCACGAGTTGAATTCTTATCGCTTTTTTGGCTTCCATCGAGTTTCGTATTCTTCCCAGCGGAATATTAAAGGAGACACGCATTTGCGTAACCGACGAACTTCCTCCACCAAACAAACCCTACCGAACCGAACTTGGACAAGAGTTCAGATCGCCTCGGCTGGAGTAACTTGGATACGCGTACCCCGGACGAAACCAATCCTTGATCTCCTTTCTGGGATCCGACCACAAGCGAGCCCTGGACCATTCGATTTTTCTCGTCGGCAAACGGGGGCGAACGAGAACCGCCCATTTTCCTAGTCTTACGAACCCGAATTTACAACAACCCTCAAGATATCCCCTCGTTTAGAGAAAAGACGTGACGACGTCATTTTCTCGTCCGTCTGGCGTTGAAGGCGTCCATCTTCATTTTCTCACCCATTTTTTCAATCTTAGGATCATCCCCCCACCCCCCCCTTTTTTTAAAGTAGCATGATGAATAAGGAGAAGGCGGCGGTCGCAGTGGGGTGAGATTAAGGGGTTAAGTCTTGATAGCAAATGGACAGACAGAGCGTGCTGCGAAGCGCTCATCTCACACTTGGCATTTTAGCATGGCATAGGATTTTACGTTTCTTGGACAAGGCCGTCGTCGCCGCCACCCCGCGAGGTTGGAACGATTGCGAAAGCGGGCCAGAGGCCGTCGTCATGAACTACGAATTGCATGCATACGCTGTATCATCTCATCAGCCGGCCTTAGTAGTTAGTAGTAGAGAAAGGGTCCGTCATTGTACATAGATAGATGCTTTTTATCGTTCAAGGAGTACATCTAATGCATCTCGCTCAAATCAATGCATGCTCGTCCCTGAGTCCTTGAGAGATGCTTTGATCAGTTAGGTATCATCATCTTATTACGTCAACAGCCTTAAAGTAAAAGAAGAAGTAATAATTAATCATAACTAATTAATCATCTTTATATGTACTAACTAGACAAAGCCAACTTCATGTGTATAGGAGGTGGGGGTAGTTAGTAATAATGAACTACATACAGAAAGCAACTCTAGCTTTATTATTAACTTGCCAAAAAAAAAGAACCTCGTATTAGGATAAATCAGGCAGTGAACTGCTCAAATGAAAAGAGCAGAAAAGAGGAGTAGAAACGCGTAGACAACAGCACTCAGGCGAAATATATATGCCGTGCTCATAACCGAGCCCTTTGCCGTCGCCTATCCACCCAGAACCTCAAATTACACCACGTACGAACATACCATCTGCCGGCTGTCATGAGGCGAAAATCCACGCAAGCCCCTCCTCGTAGACAAACTCTTACAAGAACCTAGCAACAACAACACCACCACTACGCTACACACAAGCCAAACAAGGGATAGGGAAACGAATTGGTAGAATTAGAGAAGGGCCGGAGGTTTACGAAAGTCCAGGTACGACGAGTCACATTTATCTCTGCCTAGAAGAGAAACGAAGTACAGGTGATGGTTCGTGGAATCAGTTCTATGATTATTGCCACAGCTATCTCATTCGCCTACTTTACCGATCAAGGTTAAAATGAATACATACTGCGTAAGTAGGTACGCAAAGTAAACATCATGAAAGTCCAAATTAGGTAGGCGAGCCTCCCCAACAACGGAAGCAGAAACAACAACAATTAAACGCAAAGAGCTCTCTCGTATCATTCGTACAATGCAAAGCAACAAATTGATCCCATATTCTCGCTTGCTTCAGATATGTTTGACGACATTTTTAACCTCATCGCGAGCATCTAAGTCTCGCTTAGTATTATCAGTGTTCAGGGGCTTCGGGGCCATCCCAAACTTCTTGTTCGCAATGTCGAAGACGGCAAATCCGCTCTTGAGGAACACATCGCCAAAAATGCTTGGCATATCGGTAAAGGAACTGAGGGATTGTAGACCAGCATAACATAGATCGTCAGTGGAATGGGCGTACACAAAGTAGGCACCAGGCACCGAGCCGGCAAGTCTGTTGCCCTGTGTATCTCCGAGCTCGTAAACGAAGTCGGGTGGGGTTGTGTTGCAGGGAAGTACCCATCCGTAATCCGTGTACGAATAGTTGGCACCGGGGACGCTGCCGAAATACGTCTTAACCGCCTCCTCTGGGGCAAAGAACAAAGTAGAGCCAGTGTCGACAATGATATCTCGCGCCTCGCTAAACTCGTATTTGACGTCTGAGCCGCCAATAGAGAAGCCTGTCTGTTGGACAGCCCAATAGCCGTCCGTCGTGTTCACGTCGATGTACTTGATATCCGAAATATGCAGGTTATCGTCGATGTATCCAAAGTTGAAGGAACCCTCGCTACTGTTGTGACGCAGGTCGACCGTAAACAAAGGTTGGCTCAACACACCGGGTAAAAGATCAAGAAGGGTCTTCTGGGGTGGCAGCATCTGAGCTATGGAAGGCCAGGCTAATCCCACAAGGCCAGACATATTTGCAGACTCGGTAAACATAGATGACACCGATGTAGCCGACTCAATTGTCATGTTGGGAATCGAGAGATTTCCAAGTATGAGAGTATCCTTATAACAAATACCCTGAGAAGTAGAAAAGTCGCCATAGATGATAGACCAAGTACAGTTCTGGATCTTGTTGGCTGACGATGACTTGCTGGGATCCCAGACGGTCTGTCCGGCCACTTCGGACTTATCCGTATCGGTCGAGAAGATCCAGCTACATTGCTCGTTAGTACAGATCGACTACGATATCAGGTACAATAAGTCTATAATGGCAACATACGTATCGGATGATCCAGTATCTAGATCCAGGTACAGCTGTTGAGGGGGGTCACCTATGCTGACGGGAGTGAGCCAGAGAAGATCGCCATCGTGAGCGGCGGCCGGAGCAGAACTTCCTGATGTTGTTGTTAGTTACGATGGCCTAATTCTCTTAGAACCCATACCATGTTTAACTTACCAGATTCGTCTGCGAGGACCTTGCTGTTGGTGGCTTTGTGGGCATCAACAACTTGTTGTAAGCCCTCGGGGACATTGAGGTTGTACTTCTTCAGAGTTCTGAGGTAATCGGTAGGACCATGGCGAGGGACATCAGCATTGTGAGATAGAGGAAGAGAAAGCGTCTTGCCAGTCTTGGGAACAAGGGCCAGGGTCCAAACAGTAGTAGTGAAAAAGGAGAGGCAAAGCATCACCACCACGCGGACACTGGGGAAGTACGCCATTTTGATGAACCTTTTGGTGATCTACCTAGGGAATGGTAGAGATTCTTCTGCCGAGGGGAGAGTAAAGAAGAATGGGAAGGAGGAATTTATTAGGAAAAGAAGAAGAGAAATTTTGTTGAAAGGAGTATCCCAGGAAATGGGAAATGGTGTTTGGGTATGAGCATGTTGTGATATAAACATGTGCAACTACCCTCAAGATTAAGTAGCTACCTATATACCTTAGGCAACTACATCTCGTCCTTTGAATGTAGTGGACGCGACTTGAGCAGTACCTCCCAAATTGAGTGAATCAATACGTGTAGGACGTTGTTACCCAAGTGACGAGATGCTTCACTAAAGCTGCAGGTGGCAGTTTGGGTATACCCCTGTGGCAAGCGCGTGCTTTGGGATGATTGCTCCTGGGTTAGCTAGGTACCTCCTAACCTTAAACAACCTCAAACATGAAGACCTCAAATTTTACAGCCGTCGGCGATCTTGCCAAGCCGGATATCCGCAGCAGCTGCCTTTGGATTGAAGGACCGTGGGAACCCGTGTAATCTTGCGCAACTGCATTTATATGAATTAGACAAACACCCCCGTGTAACTTCCATGTCTCTTAACCTTCTCAAGATCTTTGGATTACTAGGTAGCGTACCTACTACCTACAGGTACATACATAAGTTAAGGCATATGCATGTAAACTAGGTAGCTTACGATCAAATCGACTCATAGTATCAATATGAACCAGGCTTTAACCTCGAATAGGATGTACAACTAAAGTGAATTCTAAACCAGCTTAACTCTGTATTCACTCTGTATCCCCCTTTCGATAATGCCCAACTCGTCTGTTGTCTTTTCCCAAAGCGTGCACAAGAAAAAGATCATGTACCACGTAGGACGATGGCAAACGGCCTACTACAGGAAAAAGGGTGGAGTCTTGTACGAACGCCAAATACCTATACTAGGTAGATATTCGTCCGGACCGACTACCTTAGGTACGTTCGGAAGAGACAAACATAAATACCTGTAGAACATGGTCTATACGATTAATTAGATACCTATATCCCTAGGTTAGATGTAAGGGTGTCCATATTAAATGTCATTATACAGCCTCAATGAATTCGAAACTGGAAGCCATCTCATCTAGGTACGTCATATCATTCATCAAGATCTATCTATCACGTCTATAGCTCGTCGTGCTTTGTCCTAGGCTCCTCCTTATCCTGTTGCTCCTTGGACAAGCGCTTGATCATCTCCTCGATCTCCTCAGGTGTCGGGCCCTTGCCGCCTTCTCCGAACTTGATGTAGTTTTCCCCGTCCTTGGACTCTACTGTCGGCTTCGAGCCGTCGCTACCCGTCTTAGTAGATCCTTTCTTAGATTTACTCTTGCTCGGCTTCTTCGAGCTGCTCTTCTTCTTGCTCTTTTCGAAATTCCTGACGCTCTTCATGGCTAGGTCCATACCGGCCTTCTCAAGCTTCTTGGTTTTCTCTATGATGTCCTTAGCTAACAAGACAGGGTCCGCTGTCTCGGGGAGCTTTTCCTGTTCGGCGATTTTCTCCTCTAACCAATCGATGACGGACTTTGAAAGATCCGTAATCTCCTTGAGGTCATCGAAAGTGTAAAGGGGTGGTGCCGGGCCGCGGTCCTCTACGGCGGCTGTAGTTGTTGTTGAAGTCGTAGTTTCTTCGTCCTCAAGACCGTCAAACTCGCCAGAATCCTTAGACGGGGCCGAGGTGACGGTAGAAGTCGTTTCACTTGTTGAAGTGGTGCTGGAACTGAGGGAGGATATGTATGCTTCCGCCTCGGCAATCTTCCCCTTGATAGTATCAATGAAAGTGGTCGTCTGGTCCAGTGTACTTCGTAGGTTCTTGACTAGCTCTGGTCTCTTTTGTGCTTCCTCAATTCTCTTCTCTATGGGAGAAACGATGTCTTTTAGACCCTTAAGTTTGGCCTTGAACTCCTCGCGGGATGCGTCAGCTCCGTCGTCGTAGAGCCACTCACTAGCTTCACTGGCCTTCTTTTCCAGCTTGGCTCGCTCTTCTGGGGTAGATGCGGCCACGAAGGATTCACTCTCTAGCAGATCCCTAACCCTGTAGGTAAAGGCTTCAAGCTGGTTTAGTGCTTCTTCCCTCAACCGTCGGGATTTATCCGAAGCCTCAAAAGCCTTGATGCGATTCTTTGACTTGGTAAGGTCTGCTTTTGATAGACCCGGAATGCCTGCCTTCTCTACGGTGTAGTCGATCGGAACTACAATGAGTTGCTTCTTCTTTGGCACCGGGCTACCCTCCGCGGATTCAGCGGACGTCGACTCAGTTGCAGTTGAAGTAGAACTAGATTCCATAGAAGAGGTCGTAGCCGTGTTGGTGGACTCAGTGGTTGAGCCGCCCTCAGAAGCTTCTTCGTCTTCTTTTAGAGGTTGCTGATCCTTGTTTTTACCGAATCCAAAGAGGTTCTTCACACCATCAATGACCGAACCTTCCTTTTCTTGTACCTCAGCCTCACACTCAACAGCAGCCTTGTCAACTTCTACTTCGCCATTTTCGGTGCTGAGTCGTAACTTAACCTTGAAATGGATATCGGAGTTAGCGCAACCCTTCTCGACGAGTGACGCAACAGACGCCGTTAGGTTCTTCGTCGTTAAGACTTTCGTCTCTCGGTCTACTGTAGTGCCGTCGGTTGAGGGTACCTGTTGATAGAAACGGACCGAGAAATCCTCGTGGTTTGTGAAAGTGACTTCCTTCGGGGCAGCACCGAGGAGAGATCGTTCGGTCCAGAGTCGTTGCTGTTGAGGTTTGTCCTGGGGGTTCGTCCATTTCATTCCCGCTGGGAAGAAGGAGCTGTCAGAGATCCTGATCTCCTTGACTCGGAAACTGGGGCTAAGCTCTGCAGCTCGGAAAGCTGCGCCAAATACTGCTGCTTCATCTGAGTTGACGTTGCCACGGAGCTTGTCACCGCTAGCAATCTTTTCAAGCTGCTTCTGGACGAAAGGCGTCCGCGAGGAACCACCATGAAGAATGATAGAGTCAAGCTGGTTGATGTCAAGCTCGGCTACCTCTAGGGCCTTTTGGACGGTGGCGCCCACTCTCTCGGCATGCGCTTCAGCTAACTTCTCAAAGTCTGCTCGAGTAATCTTATATCTGAAGTCGACATCCTCATAAAGGCCCTCGAAACTAGTAGCAGTGTCGACATTGGCGCTTAGGATATGTCTTGATCTTTCGGCATCCTTCAGAAGTTTCGCCATAGCTCGTCCGTGACCCCGAACGCTCTCTGCCGTCACGGAGATTTTCTTAGCAGATGGTGTCTCGACGAACTTGGAGATCATGTCGTCCACGATCAAGTAGTTGAGAGTATCGCCGCCTAGAGTCCTGTCCCAACCAGCCCCGACGACCTGCACTTCCTGGACCGTCTTGTTGAACTTGCCGATATCCTTCACGGTTCGGCCTTGGAACTTCATGACGGTTGCCTTGGTGGATCCAGCGCCCATGTCAAAGACCATGTGATACTCTGGCTTAGCTCCCTCGCTGACAGTCGGGAATGTTCGGCTCGTAGCGTAGTTCAACCCGACAGCAAGACCGTCACTAATAAGGGATAGAACCTTGAGGTCAACGAGTTCGGCGGCCAATTCCACAGCGCGTTTCTCCTCGACGGTATAGAATGGCGGGACCGTAATAACCACAGACCGAACCTTGTCGTCGGAACCAGCCATGGCTTCTGCGTTGCGCTGCATGTTCTGAAGCTCCATTGCAAGCAATTCTTCCACCATCCATGCTTCTTCCTTGGGAGTAGCCTGGCTCTTGAATGCGACTGTGCCGCGGGTCTTGTGTGCCTCTAATTGTAGGGCGGGGTGTCTTGCAATATACTCCTTCACGATCGAGTCGTCCGTAGGAAGACCGAGGAGGTGCTTGAGGTTGGGGTAGACATCGCCAGGGAACCGAGCTGCAAGAGCCATGGCATCGGAGCCAAATGCCCTCTCAGGGTATGAGCCACTCTTGGGGGCATTTTGCGAAGGTTTGAATGCGACTGCGGAGATTTCTTTTCTTCGTGAATCTTTGGTTAGGACGATCTCGAGGGGAATGCCAGGTTTGACGAGTGTAGCTTTTATATATTCAGTGCCGAGATCTATACCGAGAACAGCAGATATAGCAAGTACATTCGTAGAAAAAAAGAAAACTACGCAAAGTAGTATTGATCGAGGGGAGAATGTTTGTGCCATGTTGGGCGGGATGAGGAGGGGTGATTGGCGAGAAGCTCGCCGCAGAAAGATTTTGAGACCAGCTACGAGGAAAAGGTTGTGGAAGCAATCAAATAAAGTTGATCCCTTTTTTTTAAGAGGGAGAAATGGGAGGAATGCAACTTTATTTGTGAGGCTCTGGCCTGGTGCCTTCCCAGTTATAAATGGTTTCTTTTATTCTATTATGTAGAATCTGGCCTTAACTAAACGGAAAACCAAGCTATTCCAAGCCAGCTTTCTGACCTCACCGCGCCAAAAGTACGTACCTATTATTCTCGAGGACAGCTTGTTGAAAATACATCCTTGCACGTGGCTGACACTTTTCATAGAAGCCACCGATAGCGATTTTATTGGCTGGATAGCGAATTATGGAACCAAAATGCTACGAATGTGGAAATTCTTAGAATTCTTACTATGTACCTAAGGTACTTGTGGCTGGCGCATTTGTATGTACACCATCTAGATTTCCCCGCGCATGAAGAAGTACGGGGTACGAATACATCTTGGCTTTTACGTCAATTTAATATAACTACCTACCTAACCTATGTACGTACCTTCTAATGTATGTAGGAGGTAGACTTGGTAAATGTTACCTTAAACCTTAAGTTCCAATAGTCTTCGTCTCGTCCAATAGCCATGCCTAGAGTCGATAATGAGATCAATGGTCGTCTCGCCCTTATAACGGGTGCTTCTGGAGGGTATGTATATATGCTAACGCCATATGTTCATATGTATAAGTGGATAATTTGTCTACACAGGTAACACCGTTAACAAACAAATCATATATAGCATCGGCTCTGCTTGTGCTCGGGACCTGTGGGCTCATGGGGCCTCCCTTGCCCTGACATGTTTCCACAATAAACAGCCAGTAGACGACTTAGCCGAGGAACTTCGCAAGTCAGCTGGCAGCGAGAGCCGCAAGGTCACCGTCCATCGTGTTGATACCGGCTCGGCTGAAGAGATCGAGCGGCTCTTTCGTGAAATTAAGGAGCAACACGGCCAAGACGGCCCAGACATACTGGTTTCTAACGCAGGTTACGGGAAGAGACGCAACGGCATCTTGGATGTGAGCTTGGAAGAATTCGATTATACTATCAACGTGAACTTGCGGGCTTCTTTCGTCCTGTCCAAGTTGAGCATTCCCCATATGGAGGCTCAGGAGTGGGGCCGGATTATTTTCATCTCTTCGATAGCTGCACAAGGAGGTGGCATCAACGCTTGCCATTATGCAGCTTCTAAGGCGGGCTTAACGGGTCTGATGAAGAATCTAGCAATGAAGCACGCAAGGGTAGGAATTACTGTTAACGATGTAGCTCCGGCTATGATTGGGGAAACGGGAATGATACCCGACGAGAAATTTGTGGAGGGCACGCCGGGCGACGTCAAGAATATCCCGGTGGGACGGCTGGGAACCCCTCAGGAATGCGCCAATATTGTTACTATGATATGCAGGACGGGATACTTGACGGGTCAGAGCATATTGTTAAGTGGTGGTCTTAAGTAGGTAGTGATATATTGACTTGAAGTTACCGTTTTAAGTCCGCTTGTTCGGGCTAAGATGTAGCTACATGTATTTAAGGTAGGTAGTTAACGCGACACTAATGAAAGGATCTAACTACCTACTAAGGTATCTAACCTATTATTCCTTCTATTCTCATCTTATTCATTCTATTCCCATCTTATTTATTCGTTATGGGGCTTAAAATTCAATTTTCGAACGTTACATATTTTCTCATTAAAAACTACCTAAATTAAGAAGACTCCATCTAGTACCGGTACCTTTTCTCGGCAAGCGTCGGCAAAAGTATCCGCAGTTCACACGGCGCGCGCCGAGACCACGGGGTGGCAAAATCCGACGCCGGATGGACCTTGTCGGCTCCGTGGCGACCTGTGTAACCCCCGCTCCACTGCTCCTTCAGTTTTAGTCCTCGATGACTCAACTTAGTGAACCTTGACCTCGACGATCTCGGTTTCAGGTTTCGTACACCCCATTTCCATTATTCTGGGCCCCATCGAAAAATCCAGGACTTTCTCATTAGTCATAACTAGCCTTACTTTTACCCCCCCAGTTTATCCCTACATACCTTCTTAGGCATCCTATCGTGGCCATCATCACGGCACCTACACCCGTCCATTTATCTACCTAATCAACCACAGTTACCAAAAGTGATCACCTACTTCTTCTACAACGAGTAACTAACTAAATTTAGAAGGAAACTACCTAAGGTTACGTATTTACCTTTTATTCTCAAGCCATCAAACAAAAAAAAAACCAAATTTATCCGGAGAACACAAAAAGAGAAAAACTACAAAGAAACTAAAAAGTGATCGTCAACCCCGGGCCTAAGTCACATACATCCCCACGGAGTAAAACTCCGCCGCCACCAATCAATCAATCAATCAATCCACCAAATCCACCACCCCGAACCGGAAAGCCAAACCCCCCCGGTCCCAGGTCCCAGGTCCCCCAAAATGGGCACGCCATTCATCTCGCACCTCGAGCCCTCGCGGCTAGACGGGTACGACCGCACGCGGCCTTACGACCAGCAACCAGGCCACGTGCCCAAGACGTTCAGCGACGCGATGCAAGTGCGCGAGGCCGTCTTCGTGCGCGAGCAGGGCGTCCCGCTGACCAACGAGCACGACCCGGACGACGCGCGCTCCTGCCACTGGGTCATGTACGCCAGCGTGAACTCCACCACCGAGCCCGAGGAGCGCGACCCCCGCTCCGGCCAAGTCACCAAGCCCCGCAAGTCCGAGACCCGCACCCTGCCCATCGGAACCCTGCGCGTGGTGCCCTTTCCGCACCCCCCGCACCCCCCACCAGGTAGTAGGTACGTCGACAACGTGCTGGTGGACTACGAGAGTGATGACGATGGCGAGAAGAAGAAGGAGGATGGTCACGGCACTGCTACTTCTTCCGGAACCGCAAGGCCTCGAGCCAGAACCCTGACGTCCGTAGACGAGGAGCGCCAAGCTTCCGCTTTACCTTTCGGCGCGGATCGGCCTACGACATACCACGACGGAAAGGAGCCGTACGTCAAACTAGGCCGCATGGCGGTGATTCCCGAGTTTCGCGGCCACCACATCGCGGGCCAGTTGTGGCGAGCAGCCAAGAAGTGGCTCGAGGACAACCCGACCTTCTTCAACCCTAGCGTCACGGAAATGGGCATGGATCAGCTCAAGGTCGGCACAGCTGCCGATATTCCCAAGTGGAACGGCCTGGTATGCTGCCACGCTCAGGAGAGTGTGGTTAAGCTCTACGAGAGGTGGGGTTTCAAGGTCGACGAGGGCATGGGCAGATGGTACGAAGAGGGCATTCCGCACGTAGGGATGTTTTTACGACTGCATATCAAGGAGAGAACCCCGAAAGTATAGTACTACAAGTAGGTCTGAAGGGATATCAGAAGTTCTCGAGCCTTGATATTAGGAGTACAAGGGTGGTAGTATAAGCGCTACTTCACCGGGTGGCGTTGTGTTGCATTGCGTTGCTATTCTTACAAAGATACCAGGTCAATTATGACTAGCTTCGTTCTCGGATGCCATTGCATTTGCGAGAACCATATCAGTAGAGCAAAAAATAAATGCTATAACACCAGTATCGTTTCGGGAATTACTTGATTTCAGTTCATGATTTGCCCACACGGGCAGAGCCTTTATTGAAGAGGCCTATGTGACTAGTATGCCATAGAACCGCATCCCGCCTGAGCCAGAAACGCACAAATGCAGAGTGTAAAATGCCCAGATCGTCCACGCCGAAGAAAACCCAGAAACTGCACCCCTTTTATCGGTTGCTCTTGGCGACACGCTCCAGCTCGTCCTTCTTCTTGATGGCGTACGAGTTGCTGCTTCCCTTGGCAGCGTTGATCAGCTCTTCAGCCAGGCACTCGGCAATCGACTTGACGTTGCGGAAAGAGGCCTCTCGAGCACCGGTGGTGAGCAGGGCAATAGCCTGGTTGACTCGTCGGAGAGGGGACACATCGACAGCCTGTCGTCGGACGGTACCGGCGGAACCGATACGGGTGCTGTCTTCTCGGGGGCCGCAGTTGACAATGGCGTCAACGGCGATCTGGATAGGGTTTTGGTCGGTCATGAGGTGGATCTATGCGATATTAGTCTTTTTACCCCCGTTGAAAAACTCGGCTCTTGATTCCTTACGATCTCGAAAGAGTGGGCAACGATTCGGACAGCCTTGAGCTTCTTGCCGTTGTTGCGGCCGTGCATCATGAGCGAGTTGGTCAGTCGCTCGATGATGGGGCAGTTGGCCTTGCGGAATCGCTTGGCGGCATAACGACCAGCGGTGTGAGGAATGTAGACGGGGGATCGGATCTGGATGTAATCGCTATCGAGAATGTACCGTTAGCGTGCTGCCCTCAACTCTTCTGTTACAATTCTCCATGCGTCTTCCTCGAGAATCAAGGCCTAGTGTCGCGTCGCCCAAACCCAGATTTTCACAAGTCGAATCGATATATATAGAGAGAATCGAGCAGTGAACTTACGTCAAAGAGATATCGCGGATCTCAACGTCCTCGTAGCTCCCTGTTTAAAGAGTCAGTCGCAATGCTCCAAGGGTCGAATAAGAAATAAAGTCGCAGGCGATTAGAGAAAACGTACATCGGTTGAACAGCTTGATGCTGCCAATCTCGGAGACTACGTCCTTAGGAAGGACCTGGTAGTTGGTGGATTCGACCTCGATCTCGCCGCTGTCAGACATCTTGATTGTTCTGGCGTTCTGGCTGGGAGATTGGTGTTGTTAGAAGGAGGTCGAACGGTTGGTGGTGGGGAGGATCGCGAAATTCCACTGTTGAAGTTCGAGATTGAAATTTTGGCCGGGTACATCCGATTGAAATTCGTGGGTAGAATTGGTGCGCTAGGGCTCAGTGGTTAGTGCGATAAGGCCAATCATGCGCGTCGGCTTGTTGCAGGCGGTGGCAGTTGGCAGCAGAAAAGATAAGGAGCTTCCACGTGATAAGTACCTACTTATTACGTACCCCGAATTAACATTTAGCACCATGCATGATTAATACACATATGTACCTAGGTATCATTGCTATCCCAAAAAAGGAGGCATACCTATCTTTAGACTTAAGTTGACTTTTGAGACTGTCTTCATCAAACTCCAGTTGTATTTTATCAACCTAAAATATAAATATAAAACACATTTGAATGTCTAAGAAGAGAAAATCAATTTTATACGAAAACATAAGTCATGATATTAGGTAATCTATCTTCAACCACTTACAAACATCAACTAATCATCAAAATATCAACTCCGTCCACTTATAAATAAACTCATTCTCCTTCACAAACCACCTACCTACTGAAACGCCTTACCCTCACCGGGCTCATCAATGCCCAGTCCAATCTTTCCCACGGCATTCCCAGCCTCAAGCCTCCTATGCGCCTGCCTGATTCCCTCAGCCGTGGCCCTCAAGCGCTCGTTCAAATGACACCTGATCACGCCCTGATCCAGGAGCGTCGCTAGCTTCTCGTACCAATCGTGGTGCTTCTCCTGCTTGTCGTTGTAGTAATAATGGTACGGCCCAGTCCCAACCCAGCACCAGACAAAAGTCAGCGACTTGCTCATCATCTGCGACCCGTACATGTCGAACTTGGCCTGCACGATGCTGCCCACTTTGCCGAAGGGCGCCAGGATGTCCGCGATCGGGAACAGATACTGCTCCGTGCGGCCAGTGATGTACGCGTACTTCAGGGGGATCTCGGCAGGCAGGTTTAGGTCCTTGATCTGCTGCACGATGTCTCCGCGGTGGTTAACCACGTGCGTGGCGCCCATCTTCTTAGAGAACTCGATGGTCTCGGGTCTCGAGGCTGTGGTGATGACGATAGGCAGTTTAAGAATGTGCCGAGCGACTTGGGATGTGATCGATCCCATGCCGCCGCCGCCGTTGATGATGAGGATTCCGGCTTTCTCGCCCACCTTGATCTCCAGTCGGTCGACGAGAGACTCGTATGCAGTGGCGAAGGTTAACGGCATCGCTGCGGCCTGGACAAAATCAAGAGACTTTGGCTTGTGGCCCGCGTGTCGCTCATCCACGATCAGCTGCTCGGCATAGGAGCCTTGGAAGACAGGGTTTCCGAGGTAGTAGACCTCTTCGCCAGGTTTGAAGTACTTTACATCCGGACCCGTCTCGAGGACGACCCCGGCACCGTCGTAGCCAGTGATATGGAAGTGAGGTGAGTCTTGTGTTAGTGATTTGACTCTCTCGTAATAGTCAGGGGCATCATCGTAAGTGCCAGCGCGGACCTTCATGTCGATAGGATTGACAGAGATGGCTTTCACCTGAACAATCATTTGACGGCCTGTTGGCTTCGATGGCTTGGGAACTTCTCTCGAGTGTAAGTTCTCTACGGGGCCGTACTCTGTTACGCCAACCGCGTACATAGTTGAGGAGGCCATTGCGTAGGGAGAAAGGGGATATTGGTATTTTTAAGATTTTAGAGTGTGATATTGGTATAATCAGATAGCTGGTACCTAGATACTATGTCTTGACTGGTGATACAATTCGAGGATATAAAGCTATAGTTCCCAAGCTCATCCTCGCATATTTATACACGATCCTCGCCACCCTTAGAGTTCCTATACTGACGTGCTGATTAAGTCATCTATATTTTCCCACCACATCGTTGCCGAAGGACGAATGAAACCCGACACAAGATCTGCGATGCTTACTGAGGTACGCGATAATCGCGAAGAAGTTGCTATGCGCACGTCTTCATCTTGCATTAACACTCTTTACAAATCCAGATGGTGACTTAAGGGGGAAAATGCCCGATGAGATAATTCAACGAATCACGAGTAGGCCGATATACCGACACGGGACCGATTGAACTAGATGGGGTCACCGGAGTTTAAATGAATTTTCCAACAGCATGCCCGGAGCACCCTCAGGGTAAAATATCACCGTGAGCGTGAGGTTGAAATATAGCCAACGTAACCTCGGTTGCGACGTTATGCTGTACTGTGAGTCTGTGTATGTATTGGAGAGAGTTAACGTCATAGCATTTGTCTACAATAGTACTAGTTATGTAATTCCCGTCGGACTTTTACCTTTTATTTCCAAGCTTTTGATGGCCACACTGTGGCTGGCTGGCTGCCGCTTACCTAACCTTAAGCGCATACCTACTATGCAGCTATGTAGTATAATAACGTAATAAAGTTAAACCACGTAAGCTCCGGCCAACCATAACCGTCCAATTCCCAATTCCCAACCTGCGGAGCCTCGAGCTTCCGGCGGGAGAGTTCGAGTTGGAACAATTCCAAATGTACCTAATAGTTAATGTATGTATACGAGTTATACGAGCCAACTTCGCACGAGGCCACATTGCGCTACCTGCTCTTATGTATTATCCATTTTTTACATTTTTTAATCTAATGTAAAAACAGTCCTCGTAATAACTACTTCTCCTGAACTTCTCCGAACTTCTGCAAAAAAATATAGACGTGAAGAAGAGCTGCTGCTGTTACATACTGCTGCCGAAAGTATCTCGCCATGGCAGAGATCCGTCAGCGCAAGGGCAAAGGCCCCGCGAGGGACGACGTTCGAACTGCTATCGTCGAAGAGCTCGACACCTCGGAATCGGACACGTCTGCGCCCGCGCCCGCGCCCAAGCCCAAGCGTAAAACCAAGGACCTCGTCGACGACGACGAAGAGTATAGCCCGTGGCTGGACGTCCTGCGCGTGCTCTCGTTCCTATTCGTCGCGTCCTGCGGCCTCAGCTACCTCGTCTCGGGCGGCGAGTCCTTCTTCTGGAGCATGCGGGCGCCGCCCAAGTACATGCAGCTCGACTGGTGGAAGAGCCAACTGGTACGTCTAAGCTTTCTAATTCGGTCTACTTTATTATTAGTTACCTACCTACCTACCTACCTAGGCATCTAACATATCTATCTTTATCGTTCTATTCTAACACACCTTGCTCCGTCCAATAGCGCGGCCCGATATACCTAACCCCCGCCGAACTCGCGCAATACGACGGCACCGACGAGTCCAAGCCCATCTACCTCGCCATCAACGGCAGCATCTTCGACGTATCGAGCAACCGCCGGACCTACGGCCCGGGCGGCTCGTACCGATTCTTCGCAGGCGCCGACTCGGCGCGGTCCTACGTGACGGGGTGTTTCGCCGAGGACCGGACGCCCGACATGCGGGGCGTCGAAGACATGTTCCTACCGCTCGACGACCCGGCCGTAGACGCGCACTTTGCGCCGGAAGAGCTCGCCGCGCTCAAGAAGAAGGAGCTCGAGGAGGCGAGGCAGAAAGTCCACGAGGGACTGCTGCATTGGGTCCGTTTCTTCGAAAATAGCCCCAAGTACCCCAAGGTCGGATACGTCAAGAAGGACAAGAATTGGTTAGACAAGGAGCCGAGGAAGAAGCTGTGCGATGCGGCGGCGAAGGGTAGGAAGCCGAGGAAAATCCCTGGCTCTGAAGATTAATAGCATTTTGTTTTAAGATATGTATTTATAGCGGGAAAGCGGGTTGCGTAGAGAAAAGGACTAAATAAAATTGATCAGGACGGATGTTGGAGCATTGGCTCATCGAACAGTAGCTTGAAAACATAGGTAATGAAAGCCGAGGTGAGACCAGCAAGGAACATTTTACTATTATAAGCACTAATAATACTCGGGACATCGACTAAACAGAATTGTGTACATTCACTCTTAGAAGAAGAAAAAGACAGTTTGTTTTCTCTTTGGGATTAATGGGTATATTATTCAAAAATCAGGGCATTTCATCTAACTGCACAATAATGCGAACCGAACCGAACCGCCTGCCCCTGGGGCGAAGAATCCAAGATACACGTGTGAAGGGTTGTCTATCCGCAACGGCGTGATTGCCCATCCAATGGGTTCGACGCCGGCTTATCCCCCTCGCGATATTATTGACTTAAAGTCTGCGCGGGCGCCGCGCGACTCGCCGCCTCCCGTCATTAAACCATAGTAATAAGACTATGGACGAGCAAATCTTATTTATATCCTATCATAGGATAGATCATAGCATAAATAGGGCGGCGACCAGACCAAGGAGACCCATCGAGCTGGAAGCACCAACGATGTTTGCGGCAGCGGTCGGGATCGCAGAGGTGCTGGATGTAGCTGATGCCACAGGAGCCGAGGATTGTGTGGCGGTGGCATCTGCACCAGTTCCAGCGTCAGTGCCAGAACCGGATCCGGATCCCGAACCTGAACCGGAACCAGATCCTGATCCTGAACCAGAGTCCGAGCCGCCGGAAGAAGTACCATTGCCCGAGGAACCGCCAGTAGTTATCGTGGGGGCAACATTGGCGGCAGCTCCCTTAGCAATCTCCTTGAAGTTTGACAAGCTTCGAGTGGCATTCGCCGAAGTGCTATTCGGGTTAGCATATATTACTCTCATTCACGGCGTGAGGCATTGTACTTACTTCTCGTTAACTACCATAACCATTCCGTTTTGGCAGTGCTTGCCCTGAGAGCAGTAGAACCACAAGGGCGTCTTGGCCGAGACCTGGACAGTGTATGTAGGAATCGTGCCCAAGGCCTTGCTGGCAGCGACGGGTTGGTAGCCGGAGAAGATGCCGGTCTGGTTGGTATGGTCGGAGATAGGCGTGCAGGGGTTGTCAAAGTTGGACTGCGCTACACTGTGGTTGCCACCTCGGAACTGAAACTGGATCATATCGCCAACATCCGCCTTAAGATTGTCCGGGCTGAAGATGAGAGTGCCATTGGGAGTGCCAACCGAAACGACGTGGACCTTCTGCGCAGCAGCGGAACCCAACAGGGTAAGAAGAGCGGCGGTAGTAGAGGTAGAGAAATGCATCTTGGCTGTTTTGATGATGAATGTTTTTTGACTTCGTCTAAATATATAAAGAATGTCGTTTAAGAGAACGTAGGTATGTAATAAGCGACTTGCGCTGAGGAGGACTAGCCTTAGAATATTACGTTAATACAGAAGAAGAGAAAGAAGACGAAAAATGAATATATCCCAAAGAGAAAACGTAGAGTAGCTGAAATGAATTAGAGAGAGAAAAGATAAAACCCCGATGTATACGGGAGCGCCATGAGTTTTAAAGGGCTCTCGAAGCATAGACAGGCAAGATGAGAGATCGCCATACTGGGGAGGGCCTCACCCATGCCCTGACATCTAGCGTACTAGGTATGTAGAATCAAGGGTCGCGGAGTGAATAAATCTATGAAACACGTTTTGACCATCTACTAGATGGCCAAGTCTTGGAAATGCGGAATTGCTACCACCTCGACCAGGGTATTCGGTAGGGTCTAGACGGACATTCGACAGCCGAAATACATACTACGGCTTCCAGACCCAGCTGTCACTAACCTAGTCATATCGAGATCTGCTTGGCATTAGCAAAGCCTCTCGGCTGGGACTGGATTCCGTAGAGGCGTGATCCTTATCTCGGAGACAAGATGATGAGGTATTCTAGCAATACGCGCCAGTTCACTGATACGATATAGAATGACTAACTAGGTACCTATTACTAAGATGGAATTCGTCTCGCTTGAGAATCATGGCATCCAATAACGGCGACTATAAGAGAACTTATTACTACATGTATGTAGCGGCTAGTAATGAAGTTACAAGTGTAAGCTTGAAATGTTTTGAATCCGGGGAGTGAAGCTGTTGAAGTTGACCGGGGTACGTACTCCGCAAGTTTACATAGAGGAATTAAGGTTGGAGGCTTAAGGAGTTGTAAGCAAGCTAACCTAGTGTAAACTACCTCCCAAGGTGGAAGCGACGAAGGGTCCCGGGCCAGGGGGGTTTTCGGAGCACGGATGTGCCTCAGCATGGCCCCAGTGTGACACCAGCCAAACTCGACCGGTTTCATCTTATCCCCTTTTGAGCCGCTACCGCCGACATCATTAGACGGAAATGGGATAGGTACCTACACAAGCGAAGCCATTGTACTTGGAAGCTTCGATGAAATTTAATTATGTACCTAATTACATACATATTTCAACAACGACGAGGTAACCGCCTTTGCAAGTAAGCTTGCCTAATTAGGAGACGCCCAAACTAGTAACCAGAGAGTTTTCAGGGGCCGAAACGCCAAAGACAAAAATATTGGGATCGAGAATCTCATAATTGGATAACTAGAATAATAGCGAAATGGACTTTACTGCAGTGAAGCGTTTCTAGATTCCGCGTAATGCATTCGAAACAACTTATGGCTCCCGTTTTAAGATTTCCTATTCCACGAGTTCGATGTCTTAAGGCCTGCGAGTGTTGAAGCTCGACGAAAAGATATCTATATTTAGCTAAGTTAGTTAACATCTTCTCGCCTGGTCCTAAGTCAAGCTATCTGCCAGTGTCCCATAGCAAGGCTGTCCCCGGTATCATGCCCTTTAGCAAAAGGGTTGTAAAATAGATAGACAGAATTATCCTCTGAGGGGTAGAATAGAACGAAGACCTAGGTTAAGCCGTGAAGGATGATGCCGCCTTAGGTATGTACTTTGGGTAGTCTCGACAGTACGGCGTGTTTCTACCTAATCTATTAGGCTTTGACAACGGGGTGCTCAGCCAACTACTAGGTATTACTTAGCACTAGAAACTTAGCAGGCAGAAGAAACGCCAAGATCTCTGTGACGGCGGCATCGTAGATCGATCCGGGGGATTTTTTCATCCAAGCATGTGTACTTGCTAGTCCATACCATCTCCATCGTCGTTGATCATGATCCCGTCACAGATCTTTTGCACTGAACCAATGCAACGCAGACACCACTAAAAGCGTATCTGTAGTACCTACAGGTTCAAGCAGCGTATCCAGCCAGCAGGATAAAATGTCCTACCCGCACCCCTTAAAGATCAAGCAGTAACTGCGGCGCGATCTTCTCCAGATCCTCGACCTAAATCTACCATCAGCATCACATCGCCCAGAATACCAATAACGCACCGGACGACCAAACGAACTCACCTCAAGAAACCCCTTATCCTTCTCCACGACCGTCCGCGCAATCGCCTCCCGCACAAAAATATCCATGTACTTCGCAATCGCCGCATTCGCATCCTTCGAGACCCTCGTGCCGTCCTTCTCGAAGAACTGATGCAGCACATGTGTCAGCAGCTCCGGCGGTATCGTCTTCCTCTCCTCTTCTTCTTCTTCCGCTTCGTCTTCGTCATCGAGGTCCATCGTATTATCCTGCGCCCTTCGTCGCTGCTGCTGCGACCGTTCGTCCTCCGCAAACGGATCCGCGTCGCTCGCGTCTGAAGCGGTGGCTTGGGCTTGCTTACGCGCTCGGGAAGGACCAGAGGTAGAAGAGGCGGAAGCATGAGCCTTGGCCGGTCCAGAGGAGCCTCGGCCGCGAGCGCTGCTTGTAGATTGCTTTGGAGGCATTGTCCAATTCGGCTCCTACAAGCGTTTAGGTAGATCTCAAGGGGTGTACAGGGCGTACACTGGGGTATAAAGGTGAGCAAAGCTCCATGAACATTATTTTAGGTTGTGCAATGCCAAAGTTCCGCACACCGCGATTTAATACAGCTGCTCGCCACCTGCCCTAAATGCAATGTACTTCCCGCGGCAGATAATATTTATTTACAGTAAAATTATCACTATGATAGTAAGAATTTTATCTACGAGGCAAAAAAATAAAAAATAATTTTTTTCATTCACACACATAAGTTATGCAATAGGCATTAGTCAAAAGGATCATCACCTGCATTCAGAAGTCTATGAGTTGTATGCAACCGAAAGAGCCAGGCCCCACGCAGTCGTCGAGGAAAGGGGATGTAGGACGCAAAGCAGAAAGAATACAGTCAAAGGAATTGCCTAGGATCTAAATTACAGCGGGTAACTAGCTGACAAGACGATGCGAGACATGTATGCCCTGTCTACCAGTAAAATCCGCAAAATCAAGCTGTTCCAGAACGCCACGGCAATGAGTGATGCCCTGCAACAACTTTCCACCGGAACGTCCGTCACGCTCCTTTTTATCAACGGCCCCTTTGTCGCCTATCCGCCGTATTACACCACCACGCCTCTCCCGTCTATGAGGTATGAGGGAATTTAACCGGAACCACCCTTGAAGGCCTTTCCGAAGAGGAGAACCTGGAGCTGATCGTAGATCGACAGCACACCAGCACCGGCGACACCACGGAGAATGTTGGCACCAGCACCCTTGAACAGGGACTTGACACCCTCCTTGGCGACGATCTGGCGGGCAGCATCCAGGGTACCGTTGTACTTGACGGCCTCACCGGAGGTCATCATCATACGACGTCGGATAGTGTCAAGAGGGTAAGAGGCGATACCGGCAGCGGTGGTGACACACCAACCGAGGATGAAAGAGGCCAGGAAGTTGTTCTGGAGAGAGCCGACAAGGACGACGGGCTTGATCGAGTCGTACAGACCGAAGTAGAGACCACGGTAGACGACGATACCAGCGACCGAAGGCATGAAGCCACGGTATAGACCGGGAACACCATCAGAGGCGAGGGTCTTGCGGTAGACGTCAACGAGACCGTTGAATTGACGCTCACCGCCCTTCTTGGCGTTCTTGGCATCGTTGGCCAGACGGGTACGGGCGTAATCGAGCGAGTAGACGAAAAGGAGCGAAGTGGCACCAGCAGCCTAACATATAAATATCAGCATCCGTAACCCAAATTTAGAGGCTTCAATAAAACTTACACCACCGGAGGCCAAGTTACCAGCCATCCACCAGGCGTATCCGTCACGCTCCTTCTTGAAGCCGAACATCTTCTTGAACTTGTCACGGAAAGCGAAGTTCAAGGCCTGAGTAGGGAAGTATCGGATAACGTTGGCAGTGTTACCACGCCATAGGGACATGACACCCTCATCGGCGGTGGTTCGTCGAAAGCAGTCGATGATACCGTTGTACTTGCGGTCCAGACGGCCAGTCTTCAACATCTCATCCTGTTCAGTTTGTCAGCACCGCCATTACTGCGAAGGGAATCCAGCCCCGTGCTGCCAAATAGACATGTGAAGACACATATACGTATTGTGGAGCCAGAGTTACATAACTCCATTGGAGAAATTCTTGCGGCTGAATGTGATCTACGTATCAACATACCTGGTTCTGGATAAGAAGCTTGACACGCTCGATGGGAGCGGCGGCAGTCTTCGAGACGGCGGCGGAGACACCACCCACTAATTATCCAGTTAGCAACAATTATCGCGCACAACAACCAATATCACACGGCATCGGATATCGATATATCGGCGGGGATGCCGGTTGAATTTAATTGCGAAAACAGTGTGACGTACTCAAGAAGTCTGCCAAGAAGGGCTGCGATGTCCGTTAGTTAAGTTCATTTCATTGTTGAGGTAGATATGTAGATAGTGAGGGGAAAAGTGTAGAAAAATCCAAGCATTTTCTCTTTCCAGCCATTCTTGCCAAATATCATCCCGATAAGCAGCAAACCATTTCGAAATTACTCGAAACCCTACTTCAATTGTCTTGTAGAAAGCAATTGAAGCCATCGATGGTATGCGCGAAAGGTATGGGGATGGCTAGACGGTGGTGGAGAGGAGGCCAATGCTCATTGTCCGAGCGAGGGATTTGATGATTATGGAATTATAACTATTATAACTTACCGGCATGCCCAAAACCTTCTGTTGTTGTTGCTCAGACATCTTGTCTGCTGTTCAAAGACTTCCTGATCTTTGAAAGGAGAAATAAGTGAGTGGAGATTAGAAGAGAACGAGGAGAAGATGGAGAGGAGTTGAAAGACGGAGAGCGTCGAGCGAAATATTTCTACTGCGACTGGGTCTGCAGAAAATATTTTGGGGGGGAGAGAAAAAAAATTGCTGCGGGTAACTGCCAAATAGACCAGCTTTTTCTAGCGACTCTTCCCGGACCCGCCGCTAAAAATGCACTGAGACCCTTCCCTCGCTTTCTAAGCTGGCGGTTGCCCCGAGACCAGTGGATGTCACGTGCAATTATGGATCTAGTATGTTAAAAACTCACTGAAGTAACCACTAAATGCCCGCCTGAAGCAGTGAAGGTAGCCTGCATTTTGGGTAGCCTGGCAGCTAAGCGCCTACCCATAAACTGGCTGTCTAGCCTGCTACCTAGCGAAAACTGACCTACCGCTACCTAACCTAACTTTCTGCCGGACAATTTCGGGACGGCCAATTCAGGCCAAAGGATCCTCGTCACCTGGACGTGGAGTCTCACTTAGAGATCAGATGCGAGCTATTTTAACCTACTCTACCTAACCTAGGTACCTAAAGTATATACCTAGTTTCCGCTCACTCTTGGATACTTCATCTTAACCTAGTACATTGATATATATCTGTCCTTCATTTTTACCTCGTTTACGTTGATTCATGATATTAGGTACAACAAAGACAGTCTACGATAAAGATCTAGTTACATAGATGATAAAAAGAACACACAAGATAAATAAAAACTGCACTTTATTAGTTAGTGTGCACTGTGTAGATCACATCTAGATTTTTGAGAGTTTTTAGCTACTAGCTAAATTCCGAGCGTCGGTAAAAAAAAATAGTCAGGGTGTTCACCCACATGCGTTCAGCGTTCAGGGGTCTCTTTGATCTTTCTTCCCGTTCCCCGAGTCAAGTTTCCGGCTCAAGAAGCGATGGTCCCTTGGCTAGTCGGCTGCAACTTTGTACACACGGTACCTAACCTGCTAACACATGCCCAAGAGGTATGTAGGTAGTACCCACGCCGCATTTCGGATTACCCAGATGTGCTGTAGAGATTAATCAGATTTGATTTCCATTGGGCGAGGATCGGGAATTTATCTATATACGTGCCATCATTATACATAGTAGAAACTTGATTACGTACCTAGGTACAGACCGACTTATGAGGCGAGATACTTCTAACTCGATTCGTATATGACGCTCACTTAATATTTTCTATTGGGCATATCATTAGGGCTTAATAGGTTTTGTGATAGAGCAACCAATACCGGCTTAACCAACAACTCCCTCCCCCCACCCTCCTCCCAGCTGTATAGGTAACCTACCTACCTATCGGGTACTAACCTTGGTGCTTTAATACATATGAAAGTCCTGTATATAAATATATACTTCCTAGTTGGAATGACGCCTGCTAATACATCCGTTTGTGCTACCAAATATGCATCGCAGACTCATCCACTACTCTAATAGGTGCCCAAGACAGGTCGCTTCCAGCTTATTGTTTAATAGGTTCCTAGGTTAGCAGACTATCAGCTATCAGTTTGCCTATAAATTCGACTAGACCATGTTTACGAAGAACTATATTTCTTTGCTGGATCTTAAGGATTGGAAGACATCGTAGGCCTAAAATTCCGAGTATACGCGTAGACAGCAAGAATATTTATAGCAAGCACAGCGGTCGATAGCACGTAAATCAGCCGAAAATATATACGCAGATTCATCGGGGTTTCTCATTCGGTCCCTATCTGAATGCAACTGCAAGCGAAATTCCGAACCATAACCGTCCCAATGCTACGCCGAGGACCAAATGCCTGAATCCATCAAAGCCGTATCCGCGATCCATCTGGCCCGTCGAACTCTATTGTCGACTGTCGGCCGAATATCATCTTCATCGTGGTATCGTGAGAGTGATGGTTTAGTCCGAGGCACCGACGGCTCGGGCTACAAACGAGATTAGCATACGGGCTTCCTTCTTCGAGGCTATCTTGAACATACTGTAGATCTTCATCTTGCTGTGGGTGACAACGGGCTTGATCTGGCCCTTCTCCTCAAGATCCTTTAGGCATTTTCGTGCCAGCGAACCGTTGATCTTTAGCCTATCGACGAGGGTAGCGACTGTGACGAGACGGTATGATTGAACATCCTTGTAGAGCTTCTCGGAAGTGGTCTTGTCGAGCAGGACGGCGTGCTGGGCCTTGTCCTTGACTATATTAAAAACAGGTCAGCCCAAAATACCCCGAGACTCGTCGCGATAGAGATGGTATAATCGCCTCTCGAACGACGCTCATCGCAAAATCGCGTAGTAGTACTTGCCTTTGCCCCTGTAGTGTCAAAGTTAGTTAGATGTCCTCTAAAATTAATTGATTACATGCGATACATACTTGGACCACTTCTTCTTCTGCTTCTTCGCGCCAGTCGCTGCGGGAGCCATTTTGTCTGATTTGTGATGTTGGCGTTGCAGTTGTAGTTGATGTGTGAAGGTGGAGGGGCCGAAACAATTAAATTTTGTAAAGTTCGCTTCAGTGTTGTGGGCAGTCAAAATCCCACGTGACCGTAGCTAAAAGACAAGTACGAAGTACCTTAGGTAACCAATTAGAACCAAGCCCCGTAATGTGGGGTACCTAAGTACCTTGACCTATGCTCCCCCTTTAAGTTCCTAACGTCGAATCGCTGCATCCCAATCATTCAGAAGCCATACAATACCTATCTCCTAACTTTAGGTAAATATAACAAGCATTCAAGGGCGATTCACGAATTCGTCATTAATGAGTCTACCGTATCTTGTATCGTAGTAGAGGCGTTTTCCCATGTATCCCTTTAAGATCTTGAGTATAACGTTACATATATGGTCTCCTCGATTATGTTACTGTATAGTATATTCTCGGAAGCACTAACAGAAATGACATGCTTTGCGATAAATGGGAATAGGAGAAATATATATATTAGAGGGCTAGAGCCTTGTGAGTTAACCCAACCACCCCCTTTAAAACACCGGCGCTACTGCTTTACTATTTTAAGCTCATCAGTAGGAGAAAACATTCGAGATCATATTAGATAGGTAGAAAACGCGCTATCGCGATCAACCCAGCGTAGATCTGAAGGATATCTTCTACTATCAACCATGATCTAAACTTTGCCCTCCATAGCACGCTTTCTAGCTGCTTTTGAAACCGCTTGCTGCAGTTCGTTCAGCGTGGTAATAAAATATCTCATACAGAGTGCCCTACACACTTTCCTATCCAGTAGTCGAGTCTCTGGAACCCCTGAATTCGCCATAGCTACTGCATTGAGCACAGTATGTACTCCGCTATCTCTCTCGCACGCTGCTTGGCATTTAACGTTCTTGACGTATTGTGTCGTGATGTCCTTAGGAATCCAATCTTCTTGCTCTGGGATCCATTTCGAAAGTAAACTCAGAACTACTTGGAATCTATAATCGCTGGTTGTGGGATTGATAATGGTAATGGGATCGGCAACCTTAGTACGCTTTGGGTTGATATAGCAGATAAGAGCCCACCCATCGTCTATACATAAGGGAATGAGAATTCCTCGGAAGCTGTGCAGTAATAAGTCCTCACTTGCGACTTTCGACATCTCGCTTCGTCCTAGGATAGTCCAGTCGTTTGGCAGTCTCTGCTGTATCAAGTGCCGAATTATATCCTCACTTAGCACCCCGTCGACAAGTCCAAGCAATGAGCTTGGCGAGAGTGATGACTCTGAGTTTAACTGGGCAAGGCTTGTCACCCGTCCGCAATAAACTAGCGGTGTTAAACCCGGTGCAATGGACGAGGGCAGTTCATTCGGCCGTGGAGAACACGAAAGTATTCCTTTTAAAGAATATTCATCAAAGACTGACGCTAACCGGTCCCTGAAATCAAGAGATGAAGTATCTTCTCCTAGTAATTTGCGATGCAGTATGTCGCCAACTGCGTACGATAATGAACGGAAGAACTGGCCCAACCCAGTTTGTTTCATGAGGCTTCTCAGGGGCTCCCAGACGTGCCGAATGGCGTGACTATCGACCAGTGACGCATAGCTCATGTGCCAATCGAGCTCTGCTAATGGGAATAGACAGAGAAATGGCAGCCCTCCGAAATCTTCCGAGAGAGATGAAAGTCTCTTCCCATACTCGATTATATTTGGCCATTTTTGTCCATCGACATGTACTTTCTTAGGCTCTGCCTGAAGGAGCTGCGAGATTATATATTGGGGGGTGTCCTCCTCACTAGATTCTAAATCAGTCGAAGACTCAGCTAAAGAGCCAGCCGAAGACTGGGACTCATGAAAAGTAGCATTCGCCACTTCCATAGACTTCTTGTAGCACTTGACAGCTATAAAGGCCTTAGCTATATGGCTTATTCGTGGGTTGGTTCCTTTATTCCACGCCTTCACTATGTCTGGCAGAGTGTCTAATTTAGGGAGGACATACGTGCGATTCGATCCTGCCCAATATAGATATTTCTCAGCACGACAGCATAGATAAGGTGGGTTTAATAGCTTGATGAATACGAAGAGGCGATCGGATATCCCTCCCATATCTACTGTTGACCGAATTTCTTCGACACTTGGTCCACTGCGGTAAAATTCGTCCTCGCTCATGAACATCGGGATCCACGCGTCTAGGTGAGGTATTTGGGGCTCGAACGCCAAGCCACATGAGGTGTAGTCATAGATATTACTATCGCCGTTCTCATCAGCCGCAGAAATGTGGTCCGTAGGTTCAGCCGGTATATCGGTATTAGGTGACGATGTTTGGACCGCTTCGACGTTGGCTTCCGGGGGATTCGCTTCGCTAATTGAAGTGTCATTTCCGGAATGCTCCTTCTTAATACATGTATGGCTCGACGTGGGTACCTTGGATAGGATCCTCTTCAATATATCCACATAGATAGTGTTAGAGTCCTCCCTCGCGTCAATCATATCCATTAAGCTGTCTTTATCTAGCTGGCTGAGTATTTTATGGCGAATATCCTCGCTGTCTTGCCTTCGTAGTAGGGTTTCAATTATTTGATCGGGGGCGAGATTTAAGAGCTTTGATTCTAGTTGCTCCTTGATAATGTCTTCTATTGCGGACAAGGCAGCATCGTTTAGAATGCCCGTCATGTTGACTTCTATTAGGTAAAAGATGATGTAAGGTATAGAATAGCAAGTCGTGCTTTATGCTAGATGATTAGTGAGTCCGACTTATGTTAACTCATAGAAGGAAAGCACAAGTTGAAATGCTAATACCGCTGGCTTATTATCCCTCGAGAAGTATAGAAACCCGGATGTAGCGACTTGCGGTTAATTGAGAAGGTGCGGGTCTATTTTTATACACTGAAAGATTGATGGTTGGCGGTGATAGGGTTTTATGGTGATACTGGAAGGTCCTATGCGTGGGGGATATGGGTGAATTGGTTTGAAACTGCCACTCCGGCCTTACTTATAGCAATTACGTTGAGATAGCAAGAAGGTCTCGTAGCTGAAGGCTCTTACTCTGTATGAGGCTTTCACATTGGATAGTAATGATGGTATGGGGTGTAGGTGGCAGTTTGGAGTGGAAGTTGGCGAATTGTGTGTGTGTGTGTGTCTAATATCGTGGCTGGCAAGGTTAGATCTGTAAGATGATGAGATCAGGAGCCTTACATACCGTGTGTCCCTTGGCTAGTCGTGGGAGATATATGTAGGATAAGTTCAGAGAGGGGTGGTTTGTAAGAAGGCTTCCGAGAGGGTAGATATAGAAACTTGGCAGGTCCGAATTCACGAATAGAGTTGAGAGGCGGCCTTTTCAACCCAACGGAAAAATATCTTACCCGTAAAGAGCACGAAAGCTGTTTATTCTGGTCTAATCTTATATGGCCGTGAATAACTTGTGGATATGTCACGAGTTCTCCCGAGACTGGAAATGCGCTTTCTTTAATCAAGAGTACTAATGTGCATGGATAGAGTCGGAGGCAGGTGATTAGCTTGTGGTATATAGGTATTAGTTGCTAAGGGATTTGGGAGGGAGGAATGACCTCCTTATAGCTGCTACCTAGCAATTACCCTGAGAGGTAGCCGCATTGTCTCTTGGTACGGTATTATGCAAGCGTTGGGGAAATAACCTCCCTGGATGCCTCTTATACGAATTGAGGCGTTCCTACTTAATTGGAATCTCATGCCCTTATGAATATGAAGCATTTGCAGGATTGGTATTGAACCCCTTTCTTAGCATCTTGTCTCTTATGCTGAGCAAGTGGAAAAGGGGGTGTTATGATTTAACTTGGTAAACTGAAATGTGGGAATTCATCACTTTAGCTGAGGAAAATTAACATCTTCGTGGTAATTATATCATGCTCTAGGATTATAAAGAATATTTCCTAGAAACATGAACTACTCAATGAAGGAGTTTATTAGATGTAATTCACGGGCTGCTTGGTCGATGTCGTGAGCTAGATGCTACGCCACAATTACTAGCCACAGGCCCATATGGGTTTGATTAAAGTTAAGGTTGGCTCCCTGCTTATGCACGTACTACATATGTATTCCCCCACTAATGTGGAAACTCGGCCTATGCAAGTTGCGTAACTCGACCCTTTTACTTTTGAAAGTTTTCCTCGAAATATTTCCACATTCCTTTCTTCTTCGTCATTATAGGGGATGTCCGGACGCGAGATAGGATCGCGAATTTTTGCGCAAGGACCTTAAGAAGTCATGAAATAACTCTAGTTTAATAGTTCGAGTGTGCAATTTTCCAATTTCTTCCATTCCTTCGTTCGAGATACCTATTGGAGTCCATGCTAGTACGCGTAGCCTCATCAAACCGTGTTCAAGTATTATTGCGCAGCTCGCGCTCAGTTCTATAACGATTTAACCTTCTCTTGACTAATTTGCTACGTTTCTTTGGCCGGTAAACCTTTGCACCGTATACCAAATCGCAATATGAGGGGGCACGGTTCGGCCTTAGGGCTACGAATAGGTCCGCGACGAATCTCATTCCTTCTCGTCCTCCTCGGCTTATTCGCCCTGTTCACCCTCCTTTTCACACTGCCTAATTCAATACCGACTGGGCCAAGTCTTTCAAAGTCGATTGCCGATCATAAATTCTCCATACCGAAATACAAGGACAAGCTTTCGTCAAGTATATTGAACCCCTTCCGACCGGCTGTTCATAAGCCTGCGGAACAGAAGAACTCAACGTATGGGGGAAGCTCATGGTATTCGAACTGGAATTGGAGGAATCCCTTTTCGTCATCTATCACATTGGACGAGAATCGATCTCTCCTCCCACCTCTGAAGGAAAGGGCTCCTGTTTATTGCTACTACGATACCACTGTTCAGCGGGATGCATCTACAAAGGAGGCTGATAGCGCGCTATTATTGACGTGGAGGCGTGCCTGGTGGGCTAAGGGATTTAAACCGATTATCCTGAGCGCGGCAGAGGCCATGAATAATCCGCTTTATGACGAGCTTCAGAGATTGGACGTGGAGCCGAGTTTTAAGAAGGACATGATGCGCTGGCTCGCATGGGAAAATATGGGCGGCGGACTTCTCGCACATTATTTGTTACTCCCCATGGCGGCTTACGAAGACCCTTTACTCTCATTTCTACGAAGGGGAGAGTATCCGGGCTTAACGAGGTGGGAGGATATCGATAGTGCTTTATTCGCTGGTCCCAAGGTTCAGATCGCCGACACCATTGTTCAAGCGCTCCGAGACCCCAAGAATAAATCTGCCAAGGACGTTGTTTCTGCGGTTACCAGCGAAACTTTCCGCGTTGATCCGTCCCATGATTCGCTAGCATTTTACGATACTAAGACTATCGAGAAGACCTACCCAAAGATTGCGCAAGAAGTCGCAGAGGATCGTGATAAGGGCATGAAGAGCTTAAACAACCTTATTAACTTTCACCTACATAATACCTGGCAGGATATTTTTAGTAACGGTATAGCAGTCCTCAAGCCCATGCCAACTCACACTACGCACATGATCGAGCAGGCCTTAGACCTAGCAACTAGACTCGCGATCTGTAGCGATAGTCCAATGCCGGCGTCGTGTCCGCCAAATCTTCCAAAATGCTCGCCTTGTGTGTCCTCTCATCCTATGAAGATTTCGACCCCAGCGCGTTATAAGAATAATACGGACTTGTATACTATAGGAACAGTGCCACACCCGTACACGCTGCGCACGTTGGACACGCTTCGAAATAATTTAGATATTGCCTATATCAGGCGAGAGATTAAAAAACGAGACGAATGGCTCTACCTCGTCTTCCAGGAGCTTCTGGGCACGGGCATACCCAGTACTATGCGCGTGCTTAAATTCAAGGATGCTGTGGCTGGTGAATATGCGGCGTCACACTCCCTCTGGTTGACGGCCGAGAAAGAGTCACTTCCAGATGATCTAGATTGGTGGTTCGGTTTCGATATCCCGAGTAACATGACTGACGACGGGAAATCGGAGACCCCGGTTCCGGGCCCGGAGCGCCGTCCGAAACCCCAGCATGACCCGGCAGATGGACCAATCGCCTCTGATGACGACCTCTTGCGTGAGCCGAGCCTCCTGAATAGGGCACGGGAAGTAGTGAAGAGTAAGGTTCAAGAAGACGAGCGTGTACGGAGTGCTATTGAAGCCTGGAATCTGGCGGACACAGAGGCCTGGCGATTTGCTAAGGCGTTCCTAGCACGTTCTAGAGTGGAGAGGCTTAAATGGGAGGAGGAGGAGAGTAAATATGCTGGAGGTGTGGGAAGTGAATCGGGAGGACGGGGATCTAGTTGGCTTCGCTGGGGAGACGATGAGAGCGAAGAGGACTAATTGAGTAGATACGAGGCACTAATGATATGTATGGGTGGCGATGGATGTATATTTGGGTCAAGTGTATTGGTCGTGGCTAAATGCTCACGATAGCATGGAGTTTGCGCGTTGCGGATCTGTTAGACTAGAACTTGGTAGGTTTGTATTGAAGTCCTGCTACTTGATGCAGGTGTATTATACCTAATCAATATATATTTCTAAGGAGCGTTTTGCCCTAATTCTAACCTGGGGCATTTGGGTGAGTGCTATCTTTCAAAACAGGTCAGGCTGTTGAGAGCTGACTTAAAGACGAGAATGTTGAATTCGAAAAGAGAGAAGCAACCGAACTAAACAACCAAGGACATGAGATTTGTCCCTTACGAGCCTGAAACTGCAATAGTATCTCCGCCCATCTCGCCGCTCAATTCCCGTGACGTGATGCCGCGTCTCGTTAGGCCGGAGACTAAGGCGGCATCAGCTCCACCGAGGCCAGCTAATCCGCTAGCATCCGTGCTGCCCCTCTCCCCACGGGCTGCCCCGCTGCGAGTCGATAGTGCCCTTGGACCGAGGTACGATTGTAGAGCGCTCCTGGCGGCTTCAACGACCTTTTCAGCATGCTTCAAGGCATCTCTCAGCGCTTGAGCAGTGAGATCCTCAGGGGGTGGTCCTACTTCCGTCGAGGGATCACGACCGGCTAAAGTACTAGTGCCATTTTCAGGATCAGTTTCCTTGCCGGTTCCCGCATTACAGAGGTCTCGCTCCTCGAGGAGCTGGTGGATGTGACCGTTCAGCCAGACGCCCTCGAGCTGCGCTTTGGACATGTCCCTCGCGCCGCTGATACGCCCGCGGCACGCCGGCTTGCCGCACAGGCAGTCGAAGGGCTGGGCCATGGCCCATTCTGTGGACGGGTAGAAGAACTATGGCAGAGGTAAGCTTCTTGCGGGGCGCTAGATACGGGCTTACCGGACGTGGGGTATGCAGGTAGGTGACGGACGGTCAGTTCTTCGCCGGCTTGGAGGCCGTTCGGCCCCGCGATAACGTTCATGTTGGCCGTGTCGAAGATGAGAGACGGCTCGCACGAGTGGTTGATGTACAGCAGGTCGCTGTTCAGGTCCAGGTGCTTGTCCCGGCCGCACTGGACTGTGGCATAGGTCGGGGACTCGGCCAAGGTGCACGGGGGAAAGTCCAATTTCGCAAATAGACCGAAAGGAGGCAGGGAGATCTTGGACAGGCTTTTAGATGTGAATTCATGCGCGTTGATGATCACGTCTTGGATGTCAGGATGCGAGGGCTGGTCCCAGTGTGGAGTCAGCGGTGCCATTGCGATGGTGTTTTTTTACCTCTCGGTTTTCCGCTTTAGGTCCTTGATAGCCGAAAGGAGTAGGTAGTGATTCCTTTTCGAATTCGGGATATTTCTCACTCGCCGGGTTTTAGATTGTGAGATCTTGATTCTTAGAGATATAGAGGATTCGATCGGAGGATTGAGAGATCTCCATTTTCCATTTTCCTATCCGCGGTGGCGCCACTCCTCTATACATATTAGAGGGGTTCTTTTTGCGCTAAAACCATCAAGGGTCGGCTGTATATGTATAAGCTCAACTCAAACCGAGGCACGCAAGGAATGGTCAAGATTGTTCTAACTTACTATAGACTCGATCTTCCCGGAGTTTGTCTATGTTAGTTGCTTAGTTGCTTAGACCATAACCGTTAACGCAGCCCTACGCTTTCGGTTACGTACATAATAAGAGTTTAGCGAGTCTTGGTGCGGGACTAGCTGCAGTAAGGGATGGAGGGGTTGCGGGATTGGTCAGTTCGATCCTAGGGTGTAATATCTTAAAGCCTATCACAGACGCTGTATCGCCCGAAGTGGGCAACGAATCCTTCAAGAACAAGTCTAGCTTTATATAGCCGTAGGTCTATAGGGAAATAGATATACACTACATACCTTAGGTAACTTACCGAACAATTGATGAGGGCGGTACATACATACTTCTAGTTATCTCTGTGTTTGGGTATTTGGACAGTTCATGGCATGTGGGTCATCCCCCGCCGAGGTGAGCCAAAATGTACCTAACATAGTAGTCCAAGCGCAAGCTGGGTTGAGGTTTGTGGGTCTTGCAAAAGCCTTTCTGTCCGAATCGATCCATGGGCGTGCAGCATGGGCAAGAAGAGTTAACCGAATTGCCCGTGAACCCCCATGCGAGTATCCACTTCTACTACCCACATTTAATGTACTCAGGTACAAGTGCATGTAAATGCGAACATGTCGGGGCTCGTGACGGTCTTTGTGATACCTACAAGATACATCGTACATTACCTTAGAGGTAGTATACATTGATCGTATATCGTATTACACCGGTACCTATTTACTTTTTAAGTTATTACTGAGATACCCGTGGGCCTATCTTACCTACTGTATGTGACAGACTGACAGTATCTTATGTGATACTTTACTTGCGGAACTGCCGACTCGACCAACAATGGCGCTTGACGAATTCCATGGTCTCAGACCCTCTTATGCTCCTCCATGCTCCTCCGTGCTAGCTGAGCTAGGCCAATTATCCCATGTCCGCCGCTTGAAGAGCTCCGGGTTACCTAGCCGAGTTAACTAGGATGAGGGATAAGGTGAATTATCCCTTTGGAAACGAGTGCGTCATGCTGTGCTACGTCCGGATGAATTCCAGCACGGCAAGTAGTTATCGACGACTTGAAATAGGAGCGACTAAGAGCTTTATAAGTTTACCTAGAGAAGGCTTCTAGAAGACATGCCGCGTCGTCTAACTCTGACAGCCAGACAGCCAATTCCCCGGAATGCGGCTGACTCGATATTAGACTACCCGCCTGGCGTGCAGAGTCTTAGCGAGACCTCCCGCGATGCGATGCCGGGATGTTCTGTAGCCCACAGGACGCGCATTGGCCCTGGCGATCTTGCGAGGGTCGAGGGTCCGGTCAAATTGTTATTCTGAAACATACACGACTTGGCACGGCATACGGCCAGACTACCTACTCTGGGCTAAATAGTTAGTCAGTCAGTCAGATTCACCGTGGCCGATGTAGTAGATGTCGATATTGCCCGCCCATCCAGGTTGTTGCTGCGCGCCCAGACCCTGGAGCTTCTGCTCACTCATCTGGGGAGCGGCTTCGGTTCTCCGAAACTTGCCAGATGGGCATCTCCGACCAATCCAAGCCAGCCTCTGGCTGAGTGGTTCAGTTGTCGCCAAAAATCCCATGGACGCATTCGAATCAGGTGGAACTCGGGTCACGATTCGCTGATATCAGCCTTTTGTTATACATATGCCGTAACCCTCCAAACGTCACCGGACCTCTATTCTAGGATGGTTGCAGCGAGGTCAGCGGCGTGGGAGCATGCGTGCACTGTCACGATTTCCCTAGTGTGCTGTGATCATGGCGACCTTGATTTAGAAGCTACGAGGTTGCACCGGTCGTTTGGAACCCCTGCCCATTAGCTTTTTATCAAGAATAGCAAGGCGAAAGGAAGCGGCTTACGCGGTTACGCTCGGGAACCTATGCACTGGAGCGTCATCTGCCAGTAGTTCTTTGAAGCTGTTCTTGAGATGAAGACACCATCACCTAACCGAGCCAAACCATGAGGAAGATACAGTGTCGATCTATCACCACGTGTGTGGGTCGGTAAAATCTCCTATAGGGGACTTGACGTGCATTTGTTAGCTATATGTCAGAAAGGAAGGCGTGACACTTCGACATCGTGGACCTGCCCAATGGTTGTTAGGGACCTAGAGCTGTGTCGGCCCGGAGGTTGGAGTGGGGGTTGGTCCTGAAGAAGATAGGCTCCAAGGTGTGGCTACGGAGCCTTTTAAAGGGATGATTTCCTTTCTATCCTCGAAATTATACTTTAACAAGACGGTTTGCCACCGAAAATCTGGTTACATAGCTTTATCGTCATCGCCACCGCTACTTATCGACGTTCCAACAATAAAATATATTTCTAGATTCCTTGATCAAAAATTACGAACTATAATGTTCTTCTACTCGAGCAGTGGGCAGCCTAGGCTTGAAGAGGCCCTTTCATTGGCGGCCAACGAAAAGGAGACGTCGTACTGTCTAAACCACAAACCCAACCCGCCTCCACAACCAGAACCTCCAACGCCGAATCCGCCTAACCCCGATGATCAACACTCCACGACTACGTGACGGATACTATATACTACTCCGAGGGGCGAATATAAATGAGATCCCTTGAAGTCCGGTAGTATTGATGGTGGCACAGGTAAGAGATAACTCAACGCTGCGTAACTTTCTTAGTCATCTCGTATAGACATGTCTCCTAATGATTTTACAGCTAGCTTTTGAGAGATCCTGTACATATATGGCAAGGATACGCTCGATTCTTTTCATGGCTTTGGGGCGTTGACTACCTGCGGAGTTTTTGGTGCTGTTGTTTCTCTTAAGCCAAGGCTGCTCACCTACACGCCTCGAGACGGTGGATGTCTGGCTGTCAAGTCTCTAACTTAGGACTTTGGCGTCACGAACAGCATTATTCCCATCGACTACTTGGCGTTTATGTGTCTATTTTTAGGGGGATTCTATCATGCTTTTATCCTTTCGTCATACTCAACTCACTGTTTATTAGCATCTACTTAGCATACTCTGGATTGAATATTTATAAGGTTACTAAGATTAGACGACCTGGATCGTTCCGGCATATAAACTATTGCCTCCCTACTGTAAAAGGCGCTCTTCATCTGTCATTATACTTGTTTTCAATGTCCGAGATGAGCTTTTCATGCTCATTAGGGTTCCCTGCTGTCTCCCGGAGAAAAGGGGGGAATGACCACCTGAAAGGACTCTTGCCATGTTATAGACAGCCATATCGTTCCCTTTCTTTTATACTCAACAATGTGAATTGGCCATTTAGAGAGGCAACCGAATGTTCCTGCATCGAGACAAAAGGTTCTTGACGGGATAGTACGCAGGGTGTTCTCCTTGAATCACCCCACCCCCTTTCATTACAGCAATAGGGGCTAGTATATAGCCATCTATGCAAAGCCACATACAAAAGCCTGAGTTAGCTATGCATCTAGGCTAGAGGTTTCTGTGAGACATAGACCAGAGTATATTACGAACAAACAAAATAGTACAATCATGTATAACATGTTATTTAGAACATGCTCTCTTCATATATGTGCCCTTTACATTATTAGTTAGTTAGTTAGTTAGTTGTATCCAAGAGGAAAGGACGCCATACACACAGGCAAGCACGGGGTATACATATGCAGTTATACTAGGGCAGGCAATTGTGTTCGGCTTGGGTTATTATTACATGCCTTCCCACCTTTAAATCTGACGTGAGTTACTATATGTACATAATAAAGGAAGAGTGACTCTAGTTGGCTGCTCCTGCTGAATATGTATAGGTATATTGCCCAGGTGGGTACGTAGGTATGGGTCTTGTACCCCTTTCCTCCTAGAGAAATAGACTTATAGTATAAGTGCAAGTTAAGTGCAATCCGCCTCGTTCTAGTCGTTCTAGTCGTTTTAAATCTTATATCAACTCATACTCTCTTATGCTACGCTTCCTCAATCCGAATCATCTAATCTCGACTTTGTCTACCTCTCCATCAATGCTCCAACACAGCATAGCCTTTACAGATCTGCCTCCAAAAGATCTTGTATGTCTAACCGTTGCTGATTGCTCACGCCTTTCGCTCCATTGTACCTTTTTTGGTATGTAAGTGCTGTCTCCTATCTCCTGTTTATCGTCATGACCGCTGTCGTTTGTTACCACCTGTCGGTTTTTTGGTAGACTAGACTACCTAGACTACCTAGACAACGCCGCAAGGCAACCTAAATCACATGCCCTGAACGCTCCTAAGGTAGCAACACACGAAAATATACACGTGGACGTAACCAAACGCGTTGACGCGACTAGGGCTTTTGAAGTTTTCTGCCCGCACTATCACAAACAATCACTCTGCGCCAAAATCTTTCAGCATCTTCCACATAGACGCACAATTAATTCTCGACGCCGTTTCTTCAATCCCAACTGCCACTGCTTATCGCACTCCGCGCACATCAACGGTCTGTTCCCCTATACTCCGTCATATTTTCACAACGCCGTTTATTATTTTCCTATAATATTCCCATACATCTGGCAATACTACTAGCTGGACCACACTGGTCCTCCGGACAAGATGTCTGGGCGCCGTTGTTATCCACATAGGGTTCGGTTTGAAAGAGAGCTTAGATGTGCCCAAGAACACGACATCCCAATCTCAGCAGCCACTTTCACCTCTATCAGATTCAGGTTCAACGGCAATAGAGATATTCGTCAGATAATCGTCAGCTCAGAGATTGACGACTCTTTGCCATCTCCCTCTACATCTCTTTTGATATTACCCAAGTTCATCCTTTCTCAACTTGAGGCCCAGAGGATTGCTGACCCCAACAGAATCCCTCCACAGC